GCAGCTTTCACGACTTAACATGACCTTTTGGTAGAAACCCAAGTTCAATTTCATGATGGTTTGTCAGGATGTTTATCTAACTCTCAGTAGATCATTATGCTAATCAACCACCACTCACAGAGACACTCTATAAATGCCCGAAGGCAATAACAAGAAAGCATATCCCATATTTGCAAACAGAGTTTGCGCAGGAAAATTAATCTCATCTTTCTAACGTATACGGTTAATATATCGTTAAAGGTTTTAATTTCATCATGTCACCTTTTCCGCATTGCGGCATCCGAGAGTTCCAAATTCGTGACGTCATGTCGTTGTTGAGCCATTGTGACTTCACGTCACGTGAAATGGGGTGTACGATAGAAATTTCCTACATCCCCTTCTTACCCTAGACAGCTCTATCTTACATACAGGGAAATGAGAGAAATGCATTTCTCCCACAACTACTATAGGTTTCCTCACTCCCGATTCATTGGATAGGAGTTGGTAATCGTTTTCGGTTACCGAACATTTTTGATAACCCACTAGNCCCCCCCCGGCCGGTAAATCTTGTGTCTTTATACAATTTGAAAACTAACGAACTCAAGTTAGATAAACATGATAACCAACCATCACTGGTTGGGGAACCTCCATATATATTAATTCCAATGTTCTCAAATCATTAACTGGTCATAACATTGTTTTACATTTCCTGAAGCAGCAATATCATTTAATCAGTTTTCATATTTCATATCAAAAGGAGAAAGTATTTGGGTTATAAGCAGTATATACAAAAAAAAAAAAAAAGGTTCCAGGATCACCTGGAGAGAAAACCTAATTTGATATTAAGTACGTTTTTATACTATGGCAATGGATATTAAAAAAATGTATATTATAATCTTGTAATTGTGCATAGTTATTTTTACATATGAAGTATTTAGTATTATGAGTACAGACACTTGGTGCTCGGTGAGGTTGCATTCAGGATTTATGTGGAATGGAGTATAAAAGCAGTTAACCTTAGATGTATGTTGTATATAATGTAAAAAAAAATGTGATTTGGAAAGTTATATATGTCTTATAAAGATAATGTCAAAATTTATTTACTATGCAGTACTATTTATATGAATCCTATAATGCTTTATTGCAGAAGATTGTTTTTCACATGTACAGTGTTTTATTAATGTAAAAATGTCAGCTACTGAGTTATTTCCTCGTACTGTTCACAGTTTCGGTTTGACAAAGTATTATTTTTATATATTAAACTACAAAGTTCAGCCAGAGACGTAGAAAACCATAAATATAGGACATATGTTTCTGCTACTTTGATAAGTCCTGTTTTCTGTAATGTTAGATCTCTACTGATACTCTTTGGGTACACTAATGTCACATTTTTAAGTTGCATTTTCGAGGATATTAGATCTGTATGATTAGATATATAATGCTGAACTTAAAATTTCACTGCTGTTGCGAAAACTATTTTTTTTAACTGTACATGTATGGCATGGTGAAACATAAAAAAGGAATATTAAAATGATGTGTAACATGAAAAATGTAAACTTTTTTTTTTATTTTACAACAATTATGAAACATGTTATTTCAACTTATATTAATCACCTTTGTTGTCCCTGATGTTAGCGCGCGGGGGGTCTTAGTGTGGGAGGAAACCGGAGTACCCGGAGAAAACCCATATGGTCGGGCAGGTGACCCCATATATACCTTTTCATGTCCGATCGGGGAATAGAACTCCGGCCGCTTTGAAGGCAAGTGCGCTATCCACTGCACCACCCGACCACCCTACTATTCCGTCTTTGCGTATTGCAGAGTTATCTTCTCTTGGGAGCAGGTGTTGATTGTTACGTCATTGGTTTGTGTGAGAAAATTACGTCGTTTTCTCAAAAATTGATGACGTTCCTCTCACAAACAAGTGACGTAACAATCAATACCTGCTCCAAAGAGAAGATAACTCTGCAATACGCAAAGACGGAATAACATACATAACACTTACCGTTGATGTTGTCTTTTAAATAACAGTCCCGTACAAGTGAAAGTTGTGCGCAGTCTATTTGATCAAATTATGGCCTGAAACAGGGAACGAAGATTACACCATGTCGGTCAGTCATTCTATCCCGACTTGTTGTCAGGCAATACTTTTTGGAGGAGTTAATTTTTATAAAATACCAGTTCAGATATCAACAAGGAAAGCAAATGAATACATGAAATATGGATGGAGGTATCATGATAACATTTATTTTATAATACTATCAGGCCATTAGATCAAAATTCACAGTAACAACAATGTGTTATGAATATAACGGTTCCGTGGCTTGGTGGGCACTTACTGTAATCGAAACTGAGCAGCAGGGAACATTATTTGTTAGCTCACCTGGCAAAGATCAGTTGATCTCGACCACAGGGACTTGAGAATTTGTTAAGGCTATATTTGGACCTAAACTAAGAAGCGTTTGGATCATCATTGGGAGTGGTATTTTTACCAAAAGTTGATCTAAACCCCTAAACCATGTAAAATTACTCTGAGCACCTTAGTTTTAGGTCTAAATATAGCTTTACAAATTCGCAAGTCCATGTGATCTAGATGATATACGATATGCCTTTATACTATTACAGACTCCAAGTAAAAAAAAATAAAAAAATAAGTATATAAAAAGGTCAAGTTGGAAACAACTTATCAAAATCACAATGAATGCTACATTACTCATCTAATAAGGTATACATGAACGAGAATTTTTTAATGATATTGGAATATATAAATAACTTTCATGTTACAACATGGAAAATGAATAAATATATAATAAAACATTGATCGATAAAAAATCTAAATTTATAAACAAATTTAAATATATAGATATATATATAAGCCCTTATTTGTTGAATATCAGATTGAAGAAGTTTAATTCCTACATTTTATATATATTTTTAGAAAAATTACCACATTTTAATATATTTACCATAAATCTACATTTATAAAAACAACTTGCTGAATAATTTGTCTTTTATGCATCAAGCATGGACGATGACTATGCAGAAAGATTGTCACCTGACTCACAATTACATGTTGTCTTTTAAATAACAGTCCCGTACAAGTGAAAGTTGTGCGCAATCTATTTGATCAAATTATGGCCTGAAACAGGGAACGATGATTACACCATGTCGGGGTACTTAAGAAGAAAGAAAAAATTGAAAATCACAAACGTTTAACTAGTATTTGTTGTCTGTACAGTGGATATGCCTGGTTAGTTCCTTAGCTGGTTAAACTATAGAAATGTACAGTATTAAATGAGCCATGATTATCATCAGGACTCTGTTATAATTATGTCTACACTACAGTTAGGGTATACGTATCTTTTGTCCAAACGGGTACCAACGTCTGATCCCGTAATTCGCCTTTATTGGTTGAGGTGAAATGTTATATAATTCACGTCAATCACACGAAGACATTGCGTGACCAGGGCAAATTAGCTAGGCTGTCATAACGGTAATAGAGCTGGCGGACCTGTTTCAAGGTAATACGTTCTGTAATAGACAGTTGTAGCTTCACGGCGATTCCCCTCCCTGCACTTCGTACCGAGTCACGTTTTGTTAACTTCGTTAACGTAGTGACCCATGGAGTAATTTAATCTTTTTCAGAATTTAGTCTGTCATGTTATTCATCTGAGGGCGGTTATTGGTAATATATGTACATCTAAGTAAAGGTTATTCTATTAAGCTGACAGTGCTTTATAAAGTTGAGATTGGCTGCGCATTATTTTATAATATCCCGGTCATGAAATAGATATAGATGAACAAGCTTTATCAGGTTAAAACCATATTTAAGTAAAACATTAATTTATATGATCATATCTATAAAGCTAAAGTAAAATGTAGTGTATGACCACCATACACAAATAATTCTTACGGCTCTTGTAGGATTTGAGATGAAGTTGACAAAGCTTGGACAAAATCTAATGGAATGCCATATTTCGTCATCTGCATTCAATACACCAAACAATTGGACAGGAACTACTGTATAATGTTTAAAAAAACCCGATATATGCATTTGAGTTGCTGGACCTATTATACAATGCATATATCCATCCTAGAATGGAATTTAATCATACAAAAATAAACATATTTCAAAATAAAAATATTTCAATAATAAAACATGTACATTTATATTCTTAAAGAGCCGCTACCCAAATTGTGATACGATTTTGACAGGATTTCCGTGATATATAAAATTCCTTATCACAGATACACAAGATTTGTTGTTGACAATGACTGCCCATCGTGGTTCATAATAAAAAAGTTTTCTGGCAATAACAAAAAATCCAAAATTGTTCACCATAAAACCATATCACAGAATTTAAAACTATTGTTTACTTCAAAAATATAGCGAGTCGGTTTCAACTCAATGCATTAGTCTCTTAAAACTAACAATGAATTACAACTGTCATATATGTACTTGTATACTACTCCAATATATTGACGAGGAACCAAGATTTAATCTTGCCTATAATTTACCCTTTAAAAAGATGTGTTTGTCGTATACCGTTTCATCTCATTGGTTGACATGCCTACTTCAAAGCGATAGTGGACTCTTAAAACTGAATACTAAACTCTGTTGACGATAAATTTACAAATATCTATACTGTTTCCTTATCTACGTAACCGACCAATTTGTATAGTGCTATGCTAACTTCACCACGTATTTCACGTAGGTGTTCTAGTCGAAATTAAATTCAGCCAAATAAGACAAAAACATCTTATGTAAACATTCAGTTGTATACGAGACATTAGTTACTAGATATGAACTTTCTGTTGTAAGGTTCGTCAATATGGTTCCTGATCAAGAACGGAAGAGCTCCGAGCCATATTTTATAATCATGTAAAAGGTTTTTGCGATGGTAATCGTACAAACGTTTTTTTATTATGGTGATAAAGGCTAAAAAAAAATCAAAAAAATCTTGTTAAATATATAAGATAATCAGCTTTGATGATCACATCCTCGATACTCCAGGGGTTACGCTCACTTACGCTCTTTGCACACCTGGAATATGTCATAGCAAAATAGAAGGCACAGACATAGTTATTTGATTGGACTAAGATAAAAAAAACAACACTGACCCATTGCTAGACTAATACCTGACCTTTCAATATGACAGAGGAGAGACACCCGAGATTTATTCCAGTCAATTTTACCGTTATGCGATAGCGAGATTCTTTGGATGTACATCAAAGTATCAACTAGTCTTCTCCACCCACCAGGTGGTGAACACTGAGCCTTCGATTTCGTCATCACATATTAAAGTGGTGTATAGAGCGTAAGCAAACGTAACCCCTGGAGGTTGCCCTGGATAATATACAAAAGAAACCTCGTTTCTACGTATGTTATTGTCTATGAAAGTTAGACTTAAGTTATAATTGTTTTGATGAAGAAGTCTAATACCATTAGATAACGTAAGGACAATCATAAACTGTTCGATAAAATGTATAAGGACTTTTACAATGATGACAAGTGAAACATGAGAAGGCGAAATAGTTTAAAGTCAGCTTTTAAGACAACGTTATGGGTTGCTAAAACATAACGGGAAACATTACATGCGCTTTTCAGGGATTGAGAGTAAAACTGTCCCTGTACGTTGTCTCGGCACCGGTGTCATACACGGCTGTCACAATCACAAATATTCCCGTAACAGTATCACTTAACTCGAACGTGAACATGTTTCTATCAAACACACGATACCGTACGATATCAGAGAATCCGAGCTCAGTACCAACTGTCAAGATGTATGACGTCTTCAGTTTGACGGTGACGTCAAAGACCAGACTACAGTTAAGAGTGGCGGTTCCTCCCTCAACGAATTCACATGGCGTTCCTGTAGGTAGCAAATTAGGCATTAGGACATTTATAGTCAAACGATTTACTGTTAAATCATTAAGTGATATTATATTTTGTTGTTATTGCTTCGAAGCAGATTAAATAACAATGAAAACATTCTAAATGGTATTACCTCCTTCTCAGATTATTAACCTGCTTAGAGCAGACGAGTCATATTGCCTTTGAGCATTACATAGTATGTCATACTAACGCCATATGTTGATGTGTTGTATTTGATTTCGCAAATGTCTGTTTGTAAAACTGACATATTTGTACAAGACAAACATCCTCCTAAATCTGGTTATACACATACATAGTCCAGAACGCTCATCAATTATTAACTATTATTTTGATGTGTAAGATAAGATTGAACAATCATATGACAAGTTGTCTTCTTGTATGAAATGAAATACATCATTACCTGTCAATATCGGTGGCTGTCGGAGTACATAAATGGTAGAGTTGATGGTACCACTTAGCAGACCTCTCTCGTTAGAGCCCCTTACTTCCACGCCACATTCTGAGCCCTCAACGACGTTGATGGTGCTTGAGGTAACATAATTATGGAAGCCCACGTCTACCCACGATGTTTTGGAACCGTTCAGGTAATCTATACGATACTTGTATGTGACGTCACCTTCAGGATAGTCGAACTCGTCCCAGTGGAACTTAAGATACTCGCCGATCCGCGTCACGGCCTGACCGGTCACTGTGGACCCATGAACATCCAGGAAAATTATACGGCTGTCATTGTGTCCGGGTGGGTCCAGAAGAATAGTGACCTCATTTGTCTGTGTCTGTTTTATTATTCCAGCATTGTTTATACACGTGATGGTGCCTATTATCCTAGTACTATGTGGGATAATGAGCGGTTCTGACTCAATCCTTATGTCCATTTCACTATCGCTCTGTTTTTCTTCAGACTTCCAAATTGATCCTGTGTTCATAACATATAAGTTTCGATGATAAAAAATCTGCATACATGTAGTTAAACAATTCATTAGTCTCTTGTTGTTTATTTTGAATTAAATATTTAATAATTTTTACTTATTTTAACACTTTTCATTAATTGACAATGACATCTATTTCCTTCCAAAATATAGTATTTTTTAATTACTTACATGTAGGATATTTTTTTCATGCTTACCACAGAAGACATCGCAGTGCACGTGCTGGCTTTCTTTGTCCTCGACCTGCCACGTGACAATAATCAGCACGCGACCATCTTTTTCGTTGCTGTATTGAAGCTGAGGGTCTGTAATTGACGGTGGAGTGTGGTCGATGATAAGTGGCGCAGACCGGAAGTAGGACCGCAGACCGGCCTTGTTCTCCACCACCGCTGTAGCATGTATCGGAGTGCCATGGGGTAAATTAACAGGAAACGAGTGATAGCCTCCAGTTAGCACGGGTTCAAGGTCACGAACCTGGTATCCATGGGCAGTTGTCCCTACACCTAATTCTATATCGCTGATATCACTTTCGGGATCAAAGAACTGCAGCATGGCGGATACGGTCGAAAACGTTATTTGTCGCAGAGGAGTTTGGTGGGTTGAATAGTTTTGCCAGTTAACGTCATTACATACCTGCAGAACAACTGTAAGATTGCTAAGGTTGACCTCAGTGTCAGATACGTTGATTGAGAAAACAAGCTGCTTGTCTGAATCCACCGTGAAAACATGAATAAAAAACTGACGAACGAGATGAGCCTTGAATGTATGATCGTTGAGAGACACGACTAAGTTAGTATCCTCTGTGCTGTTTGTTATCGCTACCATTAGTCGACACACTCGTGAAGTGTCGACTAAACTCGTGTTCCATTCTTTACTTAAAGCATTCATGCTTATTGCATGTGTCTCATTAACAAGCGTGACGTAGTTATCACATTGGTAGGCGACTGGCGGGGAGGAATCAATTATTATAGACGTAGAATAAACTTCTTCACTTTCTTGTCCAGACATATCCACTGCTTTTACAGCAATCTTGTAGCTTCTACCGTGAAACAGGTGTAGACCTGGAATTGTAACTTTAGTTACTCTACCTACTGACTGGAAAGACAAAGAAGTGGAATTGACCTCTGTGTCAACGACCGCAACCTTATATTGGTGTATGTGTGAATGTCTATCCATGAATCCATTCCAGGACGCTTCCAAGGTATCGGTCGAGGACTGACTCTGATGGTTTTTAAAGTTCTTTGTATTGAACACAGTCCCCGGAAGAGGGCGCTCTGTGTCGACAACGAAGCCATCAGAGCTGTAGGTGGACGACAGGTTTTGCGTGTTGACAGCAGTCACCGTGATGTAGTATCTAGAACCCGGATGTAACTCCAATCCAGTCCATGTGAAGTTCGTTACTTTTTCTACGTTAAGTACTGGTGATGTGTCAGAGGCTAAAACAGAAAAAAATCATCATCTTGCTTAATCCCGCTATTAAAATGATAATGTGAATTCATCATTTTTACTTTTGATTTTGCTTTGATATAAAGATTACTGATGAAAAGAGACACTGCATAAAATTGACTAGGCTATCTACAAGCTGTGTACTCACCCCCTGGACTGGTCCCCAATGAAGTCAGGTAATGAAGAATTCCAATTTGAGAGTCTGAGAATCCATTCCTCCAGCAACCCGTCACAGCGCGTATCTCTGTGATGAATTCTGAATCTGTTAAACAGTCGTCTGTTGAATCTTTTATGTGGAATCCTCGCGAGATCTTTGGAGGTGTGCGGTCAATCAGTAACGACTGTGAACTGACGATCCTGTAAGTGTTTGTATCATACCACGCTCTTACGTATATTATGTAATTATGTTTGTGTAAGAGCGCGTTATCACTATCAACGCAATGAGCAACACTACCCTGCATTCCAATGTCATGCCACACGTCCTCAAGAAGCGGATCGAATACACCAGCACCATACTCCAATCCTGCTAATCCCATACTCCACTCCATCCGTATGATGTTCAAAGTAGACTGTATTGGAGAGAGGATCCAGTTAGCACTCAAACACGCCGAAGAAAGCGAATGAAGAGTATTAACGCCAATATTGTTTCCACTAAACACACTCACAGTCTGATAGGAGGAGTTTTCAGTCTGGTTACAAGCATTTGACTCTACAGAAGAACACTTCCGTCCAAGGGGAGCACATGTACAGTCTTTGTTGCAGTAGTGGATATCGCATGAATGTTTCTCAACTTTAAGAATGCCATAGTCACCGTTCACATCAGTTTGAAGTACATGCGTGGTTACTCTAGTAGCTGACGTCACTAATCCAGCATTGTTTTCCGCTATGATTGAGAGAATGATTTTACTGTCGACCTGCAGCTGTATATCAACAGCAAAATAACCGTACTGAACGTCACGAGGTTCTCCGACGTGTACAAGAAAAATGTTACCAAGGGATAATTCGTTGCCACTGTATGTCTCTCCTATAGTTATATAGTACATTTTGATGTCTGAATCCATGTCCTCAAATCCACTCCAAGTTGTATTGATTTTAGTTGTATTATCTTGTGTTCTCCACGACATATCGTCGCCGAATCCACCAATGTGTGGGGGAGTAGAGTCGACTAGTAGATATCCACTGGTGACAGACGTACACAATCCAGCAGCATTGCAAGCTACAACTGTCGCCTGGTAACGGTCGCCGCTGGTTAGCCAGTGTTCTGGTTTAAGTAAAATGGTCGTGTGGTTTTCATTAAAAAGTTCTATGTCCTCTATAAACGTGTGACCGTTATGGTGAGTGGTGACGGAAATCTTATGTCTTATAATGGGAGATTCGTAGTCTTCAAACATCCAGGAAATTTCAAGAAAAGAAGGGTCCCATTGCGTAACAGTGTCATTTGAAATGTTAGCTGTACTAGAAGTGAACACGGGTGTCTGAATACAGACTGGCGGGGTGACGTCAACAACGAAAACGTCTGAAGTCACGTTGGTGTTCAGTCTAACCTTGTTGTATGCCCAAACTGTTACATAAAGCGGTGATAGGATTGGGAGGTTAAGGCCAGTGAAAAGGTGTTCAGAGGAAAGGTGTGTGTTTGTCAATGGATGCACGTCACATGCAGGGCTCAGTGTGCTGCTGATGCAAACCTCGTAATGATCCAGATCGGAATGAGAGTCGTGGAATCCAACCCAGAAACCTTCCAAGTGAGAGCTATAAAGATACAGGTAAGATAGTATAGGTGTGTAATTCGCGCATAATTACAATATAAGACCTTTACAGTTTTTGACAGGGTGCTATTTTAACGGTTTCACGAAACTTGTGTCCGTTTGGGAACTCTGGTAATGATGCATTGGCATTTTGAGTAGTCAACACTACGCCTTCTGAAATGGTTACGCGAAAACATGTACAACGTGTTATTAAATACCTCAATTATATAGTAAATATAGTAACAAGAAATTATCTCAAATCATATTCTGTTGTTTATGGTATTTATAATGCATATACGAATGTATTATTAAGATCAATTACCCAAGCCGTTACTTTTGCTCCTGAATGCCAATTATCGTAATTTATATAACTTCAGTTAGGTCAATATATAATTATTTCGTTATATACATGAAAACCTACATGAAAACATTAGAAAAGAATATACAGTGTAACTTAGTACTGGTGATTTAATTGTGATCCATGTGGAAATAGGACATGCTAGTTTGAGTAATAAGGGGATTTAATGAAAACAATGCTCTTTTATATGGCAATTTACTATAAGTTAATCGATTTGTATGACAAGATTCGTACGTACGAATTTTAAAACTATATCATTTAAAAATATGGACATTTTGATCGAGTAAAGTAAAGAAATAGTGGATATTTAATCTCTTTTCGTTCAATACCATAAATAGCATATTATAGCAGAAAGGTGATATATTTCACAGTAAATTCCGTCATACGAGTGCAATATATATGTGTTTGTTTTTAAAAAGGAAAACAATTACATCTTCTATTCACAATTTTTTTCTAAACAGTAAAACGACGAACATATTGCTACATTCAAAACGTGCGGGAATTTGTAGCTACTCCACACGATTCAGTGATTTGCTGCTATTATCTGGCAAGATCCCCAAACATAAAATGATATCAACTGTGTAATTTAGTAAAAACAATAATGTATGTAGCAAAGGTAGCAAAATAATCAAATAATCCTCCGTCTCCTCGCCTGAATTTGAAATTGAACATTTCCGGTTTTTCACTTTGTATAAATGTAATAAACATACATTTTCTGCAATGTTTTGTGTCTATATACCTCTGTCCTATATAACGTTGATGTCCATCTGATCGTCCTACCAGTACCTGGCCATGTATTGGGGGTGAGTGGTCGACCAGGACTCCGTTGGAAGTGATGTCCGTACACAGTCCTGCGGCGTTACAAGCCTGCACCGTCACATAGTAGATAGCGCCCTCTTCCAGGGGTACAGACCACGTGAACTCTGTCCATGAACATATTATACAAAGAAAAGTCAGAAGACACAAAAATAACATCCCAGTGAATAAATTCTCAGAAATGTATCATTAGGCCCAAATAAGGTACTGTTGTGCAATATATGCAAACTTAAATATATATTTTTTTCAGATTTCAACCTGCGTTTATGGTCTTCCTTACACCGAACACACAAATTCTTCCTGTACAATGATAAAAAAATACCGTAATGAAGAGGTGAATTTTACCTGTTCTCAAACCCACATAAGTTAAACGTTTGACGTCCAGATGAAATGGTTTGGTTCCAAGTCCAATTTTGTAGTGCTCCACACCAGACTCAGGATCAGTGAATCCCTCCCAGGAGCACACAAGATGGCTCGCATAACGTTGGTATGTAAAACCATTCTGTTTGAAAATTTAAATATACATTTGAGAAAAGGACATCGATTCTGGTGAAGATAATATTGATATACACACGTTCCTTTCCCATTTAGATGTTTAACTAGAGACGGGGTGATATGTACTTCATATGTTTCAGGTTTTGCTTAATTGTAATAGTTTCTATTACGAGATCTGTCGTTTTCTCATGGTCCTGTTTATCTTTCTATACTTGTTCCATGTTTTTGAGTAGAAAAGACCTTATTGATTAATAACTTCGGTATTATTTGTGTATTGATGACGATCGTCTAGAAATATGATTACTAAATTCTGAACATTTAAATGAAGAACATAATACATACACTTGTGCTGGGGCCTTCTCTCACAATTCCTGGTAAGGGCGGAGTATTATCTAGGAGGAAATACCCTGACCCTGCTAGCAGTGATAATCCAGCTCGGTTGGTAACCTTAAACAATTAGCATAAAATTGTACATATAAGCATGTTTGCATGTCAACTAATTATTAGTATAAATGATCTTTTTGTCCAAGCAAGTCGCACTTTTGATAATGAGCACACCAAATAACTTGTCCATTAAGATTGAATTATAATACTACCTTCCTTAGCTGGTATACACGTACATGTACCTTCACTTACCCGAAGAAATGCGTAATATGTATGGCCATGCTGAAGGTGTAGATTGCTGAAGTCAAAGAAGAAAGAGGAAGGATCTACATGTTGGAAGGAGACAACGTCTGGTATATCTGGATAGTTGCCAATAGCAACCTCGAAATGCTTAATTCCTGACTCCTCGTCATAGAATCCTTCCCAATGGAGAGCCATATTCTGTAGTGTGGTCACGTGTCTATGCACGTGCAAATCTCCAACAAACAATGTACCTCTGACTGGAGGCGTATCATCAAATAGCACGCCGTCAGAGATCGCTGTGGTGGTCAGATTGACTTTGTCCCTGGCTTAAACGACAAGAGAATATTTGTTACAAAAACTATGTATTTGGAAAAGAACATTCATGAGCATCTTAAAGACATCATTTTTTCAAAATTACGTGTTGCATGCATGCTTTTATACAAGAACATTGTTACATCATTTTGTCCATTACTAAAACGAATGAGAGTATAGATACATTGAAATACCTTCGACCATGGCGTAGTATACTATCCCTGGTGTCAGACGTTTGTTTCGTAGTAGAACTGTTTGTTTTTCTCCCACTTCTTTATATGCCTGGGAATCTTTTCCTCCGGGATATGATCCTTAGTAAGTAGAGAAAATATTGATATTTCAGCATATGCTAATGTTGTGTTTAACAATGGACACCGTATCAATAATGATATAGCCGCGGTTGCAGGATAGATAATGCATATCATGACAATGCTTATTTTATATTAAACATGTTGATGAATCGTAATAATATCGATTATTTGTCAAAAGGTTATGTTGTTCTCAGTAAAATATTTGCAAGCTATCCAGTAATATATCAAGGTAGTGCTCAGTATCCTAAACAGTGATCAGGGAATATACACCTGTACTGTAGAGGTTACCAGAGTTCATTGGATAAAAATTGCTGAGTCGGAGTCACTGAGGCGTAACCAAATCATGCAATGCAGGTTGCAATACAGGACCTGGGAGGTTCACTGGTTTCAGAGGCTGTGTGCCAGGGATAAAAACATGAGCTGTGTGTTTAATAATGTAATTTCACCAGGGATCTGTGCCCAAAGTTAATATCCAAGTCTAAGCTGTGTGCTAGATTTGAGCTGACCTATGCTACTTTGAGAAGCTGTGTGTTGTGACCACCTCAGTGGGGTATGGGAGTCCTGGAATGAAACAGTAGAGAGTGACATGTGTGCTCAGTCGTATATGTTTATGTAATTCATGTACATTTGGTTATATGCTTAATATATAAAATAAGTTGTATACTATTGATAGGTCATTGTAGAATAATTTCCTTACATAAAAAGAATAAGAAATTGTTATAGGAGATAGAGATTGATGAAATGTCATTTATGTAAAATACAAATGTAAAGTATAAATCCATGGAAAACGAACTTGGGAGTTTTACTCTGTAACTTTGTAGGCGACCTTTTGGTACGGAGTCATTAGCAAAGGAATGACCCTATGCTAGACCAATATTGGGAGCAGCAGAGTCCATGTGTATCCTCGAGGGTATGCCGTAAAACCTGAGGAGCAGTATTCGTGCAGGACTAGTATAACGGACGGCGTCAGGATGGAGCCAACCAAAGACAAAGGGTTCCAGAGATAATGGTTTTCATGCACATAACTAAATAATTATAAGGAAAGAATCTGAGAGTGAAAAGGTGTTTTGTATATTGAATTTTTCTATATCCTGATGATTTTGTATATATGTCCAGGTGAACACATGTGTTAATTTATTTCATGTCGTTGTCTTATCTTTTTGCTACGTTTTAGGGTGAGCCCCAACCCAAAATTATTTTATTCATTGACTATGTATGCTGATAGTGAAAATACATACCGATTGCATATCTGTACTGAAGCATTCCAACACCGTGAGCGGCAAAGTTGTCATAGAAACCTTCCCAGGAAATAAACAAGTCACTACTATCAGAGATGTACCCTGCGTCAGAGTGTATGGTCACTGACCCCAAACTTGGGACGGTTTCGTCTATTATCAAACCGTCACTGCAACCTTCGACTTTTTCAAAATGTTCCACAAAGTTCTGTCTCGTCCGATTACACGCCGGACTCCTGGCACAGATGTAATATTTACCCTCATGAAGGTTTAACTTTCCAAATGAAACAACTCCTTCACTTGTTTCTGCGTACACAAAGCAATTGATGTCAACTTCACAGGCATCGTTTGGGATTTCTTTCTTCGTCATCAGGTACCAAGTCACATCTCTGTCCTGGAGCCCAATCATGAACGCGCCAAGCTGCAGTTGGTTTCGACTGTAATCTAACTCATTATCGTGAATGTTATTTAATTTCTCGCCAATATTTGAACTGAATATTAATAACTTCAATTCAGAAAAGTCAACTGAATTCACGTCAATGTCATACACAATGTCTTTAGGAAATTCATTTTGATGAAATTGTACCTGTAAAGGTTCGCACTTTGTTATTTCACTTCCGGAATGACAAAATGTTTGCAAACAAATGAAACGTTGTGCAAATACATCGGTAGACAACTGCACGCAAGCTGTTATCTGTAATAAATTAATGGTTATGTCAATCACACGTACAAAGCTGAATGTCGGAAATGTCAACGGCCTAATAATAAAAGTCATAGAAACAAAATCATTTTATTGAAGTAATTTATCAAAGCATAGTAAAACAAGGAAATTGGAAAATATGAAGTAACACAAAACATCAATGGTATGTTTTAAGCTAAACAAAAATCTTTTTTTTCTGTGTTTAAGCCTTTCTAAAACTGCAGGTAGTTTAACATAAGAAAAAAGACAAAGTACCACCTCGTCCACACAAAAAGGCATAATCCGAGCCTATAATCGATTTAAAAGAAGGCCACAAGAACTGAACAGACAACAGAACAAAAAGAAAGAGATATATGCCCCCTCCCTTTTAAGAAGTGTACATATTTTACCTCATGGTTTGGTGCTGGTTCTACAACATGTGTGGTCCAAGCTTGTTGCGAAGATATACCGCTGCCATCATCTGCGATTCTCCACTGGTAAAACAAGGCATTCGAGTCCCCTATTCTAGAGCACCGAACCTCGCCCCAAGACACATTGACATTACTACAATTGTTGGAATAATCCATGATAACGGCTTTTAGTGATTCCGTGTCTGGTACAAGTTCTATGCGGAAGCCATCGGAAACAACTCCAGCTAGACATGTTGTTCCGAAACATGGTCGGACTTCAACGAAAACATATTTTTCGTCCGTAATTGAACTTGTCAAACTCATATTCCGCGTGTTCGCAGGAGTGATAATTGTTTCAATAACACTCGCACTGTTACTGTCTGTTTCGTTAATAAACAAAGATATCTCAAAGTGTGTAATGTAATCAGAGTATTTTTCCACCTGCCAGTGTAGCGATATCGGAATGTCTGCAAAATGGTAATCAACGTCCTCTTGGCATCTCAATATATCGTAGCTCACATTCGCGGCGCCTCCCAACTGATTTGAAACTATCACAAATACCGGACGATAAACAAATGGCGAAAACGTAATACGGCCAGGTTTGCTTTCGATGAGAACAACATCATCACTGGTAATGGCGACGACGTCACTTAACTCTTCAGGGTACTGCACTGTATAGTAATAGGCGACGTGGAATATTTGGTCACATGTTGCAGTAGTCCGTAGAGATGTGTCGTTTTCAGGTGGGTGCACAGTCCATTGACACACGAAAGAATTACTAGTACACCCTGGTCCATCAAAGACCGATATTGCGTTCACAACATCATTCTCAGAAAGTACTTTGAACCCATCCGATGACGCCAGCGCCGTGCCCGCGCTGTTGTTTACTCGCAGTACTGCAAAATAGGTATTATCTTTGGCGAGAGATGCATTACTTTGACAGATGAAGTTTTGATTCCCCACTGTCAGGAATTGTTGGATGTCGTCGCTATCTGGACTGCTACCTAGACCGACCTCGACAGTCACGTTTGCCATGTGATCGGATACACCGGCCCACGCTACACAATACTCGGTCGGTGAAAACGAAACATCTTGGTCGATGTATGGTTCTGCTGTTAGTCCAGGATGTATATCTTTCACTGACCCGATGCTTGGTCTATAGATTGTGGGGATGTAAATAGTTTCGGTCATAACAGTGCAGTAATAACCAGCAATGTTGAACACGTGCAATTCGACTTGTAATGGATAATTTACGTCCATTATCAACTCCTGGAGATATTCCATAGAAAAGACAAAACACTCAGAGATGTTTGAGCAGATTGTTGTATCCAATGTTTCCCAAGATGAATAACCTAAATTTCCATCATTTTCCTGAAAATCTGTTGAAGATATAAAATAGAAAAGGAATCATTTACATGAATGACAGTAGTTTAATCACAGAACACTTACTGTTCTATTAAATATAAGCTGACAATTTCTGTTTATTGCTATACATCTTATGAACCTGCCACATTGTTGTATAATAAATGTATTATTTTGTAAACAGAAGTAAAACCAACTATATTCTTATAAACTGGCTATTTTTAACTTTTTAACATAATATACTCACGAATCCTATAGGAAATTAATGAAACTTGTTCTTGTTGTTCATCGTCTGTAAATGTATTTTGGTTCAAGTTGATAACGAGATGAGAACCGTTCTGAGAGGTTTGTAGTGACGACGGACATATAGGCGACGATTCGTCAATTACAACAGGACCAAATAAGGCTGTAGAGGAAAGACCGGCTTTGTTTAAGGCCTTGATGAAGATGTAGAACTCTGTTCCGGTAGTAAAGCCAAGATGACGTTGTTTGAAGAAAGAGTGGTTTTGGACAGATTGAAAGTCCTGAAGGTCTGGCGAATCAGCTGAGAGACTGGTTGAGCCAAATCCAACATACACTGCATCGAGTGGTATGATGTTTTCCAGGAATGACCATGTAAGCCGAATAGTGTCAATAGGAAGGTAAAACTGATGAAGATTTGTCAAACTGCAAACATCAAATGTCTCTGTTGTGCTATTTTCCAATGATAGCAGGTTAAGCTCAAATCCATTTGTAGTATCTGTACATGGAACAGAACAAGATGATACTCCAGTTATGTTAGTCCTTGTAAGCTTTGCAGAAATGAGCCATATGTCGTGATTGTAGCATACTGTGTGTTTACTAGCTCTTGCTTGGGAGAGTGTCACATCAGTTATTTCCGGAGGAGAGTCACTTTTTCTGAAACCATCAGAACATATGGCTGAGGACGGTTCCATGGCACGATTGAATGCAAGAACGGTAACAAAATATTTCCCTTCAGTTTGTATTTCAAACTGAGTTGATGTTAACGTAGTATTTTTATACTGGATATGTCCCGTAAAATTTTGCAGTGAAGTCATTTCATGCTTTTGGGCACATCTCGTTGCAAGAGCTACTCTGTAAAATTCAATTCCACTTTCATGGTCAAGGAAACCATGCCAGTGAACATGAATGTATGACCCGCTTGTATAGTCAACATCGGCTTGATCATCTGTTCCTTCGTATACAACGCCATCTTCCGGCGGCGATTCGTCAACATGCACGTCAACAGAAAGAGAAGTGGTCAACAGAGCCGCATTTGTTACCTCAATCTCGTACCGGTACATCCGGTTGTGGTTACCTATATGTTCGTTGTTAACGGTTAATGTATCAAGGTCAATTCTGAAGTGGAAATACTGACAGCTGCCAACAAATGGACATAAACAGAGCTGGGGTTCTTGGCACGAAGTCTGAAAAGAAATATTAATGTTTGTAAATAAATATTTTTGCATTAGAAAGGTATGCCTTTGTAAAGTAAAGTATTTGAATCAATCTAATAAAGGTTATTAAGATGCTTTTGTTCATTATTATTTAAATATAAATCATGATAAATATATATGCTAATTTACACAATCAAAATGAGATAAACGTAAGGAGTTTTATCATCATTATGTCATAACTTTATCGATGTGTGTTGTTTAGTTAGTGAAATTAAAGATTAAATAGATAATACTTTTACTGCATATTGTTATGCATTTTTAGCTTTTATTAATACATTTCCGTTTCATAAGCTTTTTGATAAATTTTATGAAAGTTTTGAAAAACACATTCTTGAACTTTATTTCAGTTATAAAACCACGGGAACTTGAAAAGCTATACAGCATGTTAAAACCAACCTCGGGGTCGGTTTGTCTGACACCTTCAGCTCCTTGTCCTAGAAGTGTTTCCGGGTCGGTTTCATAGAACCACCAGAGAACCTGTATAAGCCCACTGTGTGTGTCGTATGAATCAAACTCCAACTGCATTCTAAACAGATCCGTGGAGTTGTGAACAAACAATTGTTGGTGTCCTTCCCGTACTAACCAGGCGTTAGATATTACTGGAGGACTTGCGTCAATAAAGACTTGAATAGATTCATGAAAAGCATTTCCTACAATGTCACTAGCATTTAACATGAATATATATATATCACCATCGACAACTACATGTGGTATGCAAACACTCTGAGAAGAAACGTTACTGATGCTATCAGAAGATATTGTAATGTTTTGACCAAAAGTTTCCTTTGTAAGTTCATAACTAAACATGCTGATTCCGTGTACGTTTGGCGTGCCCGTAACAGGCAGTGTGCCCATTGTTTGGTCGTATGCCTGCTGCACGAGTCCATGGCCATCCGCTTGTATGGGTCTGAGAGGGTTAAAATGTACGAACTTATTGTTATAGTACCGGTCACGCCAGCTGACACATACATCACGGTGTGCAGTTTGCCATGTATAGTTTGTATTTACTGCAGCCGACGATACATGCAGCTTATATGTTGAGTCGACTTTGATCAACGATGAGTTGTCGTAGAGGATGAATCGTCGAGTCTGTCGGACGTTATTTGCAACGTCCTTGACCTCTAGCAAAAGGCCATATAGGGCGGGTTCATGTTCAGGTAACTGTAGGGATATCATAGAATTCTGTATCATGTCTATATCCGTCGTACCAGCTACCTTTCCACTGTCCATGAATAAGTTGTGACTTCCGCTTTCTTTTACGTCATGAATCGTTAACCGAAAAGACTCGATACCAGAGGAATGAAGGGTGTTTCCCCCTGCCGGAAATGGGTCCGTCCAGCCGGAAGTAGACAAGGATATAATTCCGCTCCTAGTGATACGTGACGATGCAGTCAATGTTTCATCAGTACATGAACTGATTACACTGCAATGTTCAGGTTTAGCACTATCATATATATAGCAGAGATCGCGGTACCGTTCAGTCTTTGTATATCTCTCCGTCCGAGTTGAATGAGTCTGCATGTTCTTGGATATGAAACGTCCCCCAGCTTTTGGATGAAACCGCAAGCATAACCTAGTGAAATGAAATTAATTAAAAATTTCTCTTTGGCTAACATTTAACTGACTGTGTGGCTCTAAGTTTAACTTTCTTGTCTCGTTGAATTTATATAGGAGTGCAATATCATATTCTACATTAACGTTGAATTGACGAATGTGAAATCATTAGGTGCATTATACACTTTCTACACTTTCTGAAACGTTTTAAATGAAATGCTGATTTGTTTTGTATTCTAAAAAAATTAAACTAATAAGCTTTCGTAGGCTTCGAAAAAGAGGAAGTGGCAGTTTGGTTGGATTTTCAAAACATAATAACGAAATCTAAAACTTTGTGATCACAAATGACACATATTATTGACCCAAGATAAAATACACACATTTAAAACAGGATACTACTAATCCCTAAAAGATTTGATGATGGTTAACGTTTGACGGATCATCACGTTATTATATTGTTTGTAAGAAAGACAATCAATGCGGGGAACTATCATCTGTTAAACAGAGCGACAAATATACGATTGGCTGATTCAGGACGTATGCATTAAATCATTGCACATGATTTGTAATCTGATGATCTATATGAATCTTAAATATGTTAAAAGTAAAATATATCTTAATGGTATAATAACTTAATGCACGAACCTGTTTAAATAATGTGGTTTGTGAAAATAAATCTAAGCAATTCGTACCAACTAGAAAAAAAAACAGGTGACAAAAGACCTGTAGTATCCTTGTGTAAGCGGATAGCAGTCAGGTAAATGGCAGAGGAATCTGAGGGAAGTATGAACATTAATTTCGACTATCATACCACCAATGTGTCGCTTCTCTATTTAGATTTATATTGACCTAGATATCGACTACATAGCCTCCTCTCCCCTTCAAAGTGTAGACCAACGCATGAATAACTCTTTTAATCTGGGTAATTTTTCAAACTTTCCAACCTTTTAAGTATTATAATATAGATTCATGACTCCTGTTGTAAGGAAACGTGTGTTGTTATCGCCCCCCAGCTTTAAACCATGTTTCATGAGGATGAAACATACTACTAACGGTAACAAAATATTTTCCTTACAACAAAGGCAATATATATGTTATTGTATCGAAACACCCCATTAACATAATACTTATAATGGTCAGGAATACGAGCTTGTTTTGCCATCATGCTTCAGTTCACTTCTCGTCTACTTTTCTAGGGAGGCTCCAAAAAGGTAAATATGACGGGGAAACTCAAACGCTATATGAACGAAAGACAACGTTTGCTTTCCTCATCATGTGATCGATTTCATCCAATCAGATAAGTTGTGACATTGATGAAGATAGATTTATAACCCTTTCAACAATGGTGGTTATCTCCATTGATTATCAAATCAATCGAAGAGTCTTAACTTGACATGAAATGTGGATAATGAAAGTAAAACAAATAAAACAATTCGTGTAATTCATTTCCCCCGCTTTCAGGGCATGTTTTAGATGTGGTATGTCGTGATGTGGTTAACTGTGTGTAAATATGCACAGATCATATTCACGAGGACTGAGCCTGATACATGTCAACATGTACGTGCATAACAAATTACATTGAAATCGACCATTTACTAGGGCGGTAATTCTATGGAAATCAATCAGCCAGTCACAAGTTTGTAACCTCATTAAGTAAACGAAAATATGTAAGGATCAAATGTTTAACATTGAACTAACCCACAAGAATGTTATGCATAATACATTTCGTTTAAATTGACATATTATAAGAGAAGCTTTTGTACGAAAACCAGTCAGCCAGTCACAAGTTTATTACCTCATTAAGTAAGCGTAAATATGCACTGATCATATTCTTGATCGAACTCAGCGGGGGATAAAAAGGGATAAACCAATAATGGTCTTACTTGAAAAAGGATCAACCCTCACGTTAAGTTTGAAAGAAATCATGTTATTAGTACTTAAACCATGTTCTGTTATAGGAGGCACCCTGGCGATTGGAACTGACCTGTCGCTCCATATTTTATCTTTTACTCTCTCGTACAGATATTGTCATTTTTTAGGTACAAGGGACATCTTAATTTTAATATGCTATAAATCTGAAAAAATAATTTTAATTGCCCTTTCATATTAGCAGCAAGCATTGCCAAATCTTCTCATTATCATGTATTGAAATATCAATAACACTAGAAACATTACCTTTGGCCGTTGGACAAAGAGTGAGACACAGCTATTGTCTGGTCACTGGGAATGTACAGAGATTGTGGTGAGTCGCTGTTCGGGTCACTGTGGATAGTTTTAGTGGCTAACACTGCTTCATAGCCTACGGGAAAATGTCATAAAGGGTTGCATTACTTATTAGAAAGCTTTATAAAAGAAGAAATTCCCTTTTTTTTAAATTTAAAGCATTCATCAATCATCTCTGGTATATATATTTTTCAATGTTCTGGTATTTTATTCATTTCACAAAAAAACAATCACGCTTAATCCTAGGGTTTATCCATTGTGTGAAAGAAACTAATCAAGGAACAATATTATATTATAAATTTAATTATAATCATAACTGCTATTGGATGTAATATTTTAAAAAACAATTTTTCTACTAAATTTTAAGAATCAATCTATGGCGTACCTGTAACTGTCTTTTTCACAGTATGTATTTGGACATCAGTTATTCCGAACACCTCACTGACGACAAACGCTGGCCTCGTTACATGAGTGACGTCGATAGTATAGTCAAACGTTGTGGAGGTCAATATACTATCAATCTGGAAGTTCCCGTAGAAATCTTGTTGGTTATCACAATGTGATGATCCAACAAATGGCGACATTCTAGAAGCACCGCTTGATGCTGTCACTCGCATACTACAGCTTGTGATGTTTGGTAAAAGGTTAGCTGTAATATTAACAAAATGTATTGGTTATATGTTTAATAAACCAAATAACAAACCAAATTATCTACAAACGAAAAATTTCTATGCAGAAAAGAAATCTACTAAATAACTTAAGGCCTAAGGTTAGTGGACTGAATAAATTATTACGGCGACCCCAAAATATCCCGGAAATTTTAAAGCTTACTTTTGTCTTAATTGCTACTCCAACATAATTTATATATGGCACAGGTTTAAACTTGGAAATACGACGAGTTCAACTGAAAGGAACAAATGTTAGTTTTGCTAGGAGACAAAAAGTTAATTTCAATCGCTGCACATTCGTCATCACTTATGAACACTAGATTATTGCTGGAGAAAGTTTTTACAGAAAGGGAGATATAGCCTACACAAGAATAGGAGTATGGCCTCCGACCGTCGCGGCCACAATGTGTAGTTAATACAACAATAAGTATACAAGGACTTTTACGTATAGATTTAATAACTCTCTCCATGAAAGAACATCTATTAACAATCATCCATGATCAAATAACTATAATATTAACTGTTAAAATATTTTCAGTCGTTAAAGAATCAGTTTCTTGAGGATGGTTTCAACTGGCAAATAATGATGAACACTTCTTAGATAATAGATAATTGTGAAAGCATGCATCGTATTCGGATGCATTATTCTAACGTGAACTGTAAACCAGTTTCCACATATAACTATTAGAAACTTACGTTGACAAGTCGCACTACTGCTGTCGTAATATCTTGTAAACCCAGCAGAACAGGCGCAGGTTCTTGCGTACTCGCTGTTACATGTACCAGGCCAGCACCAACGGTTCTCCCAAGAACATTTTCCTAGACAAAAAATAACGGTTATTTGACTTTCAATTTTAACAAACGAGAGTGTATCGAAACCAATTTTCTAATTCTTCTCTTTTGTATTTGTTTATTTTACTATTTATTCATTTTATGAAATTTTTTCGATTTTGGTTTTTATTAAAGTATTACTATACTATAAGCGGAAGCTTGATAAAATTAAGTTTAAAGATGATATCTTTGATTATTGCCAACAATTAAAAAGTATTTAAGTCGATTTGCCTCAAGCCATAGGCTCAGGAAAAATAAGAAAAAAAATATTCCCCTTTAGTTAATATTATTGTGTTGACAAGTGGCAATTGAGTGTTATATGTGTAGTAAACGCTAAAGGTAACGTTGAAATTTGATTATCATGAAATCACAATGAAGGCCACCTATTCAACACATGTTATATGTTATTTTCATAGTATATTCTCAACAGGTAAGCAACATACGTAGGATAGTCCCGAACACGTGTATGTAATTTGTTTTTCATTATTAAGGAAACTTACGTGTGCATCTCGAATCGCTGTCGTCAAGTTTGTATAAATCCATGTTGGAACATTTCAAACACAAGGCTGGAATCGCAGTATTGCAGCAGGATGTCTGACAGTTTGCTATATCTGTATGTCAATATAATCAATACCAACAGGATGTCTGACAGTTTGCTATATCTGTGTGACAATATAATCAATACCAACAGGATATCTGACAGTTTGCTATATCTGTGTGACAATATAATCAATACCAACAGGATATCTGACAGTTTGCTATATCTGTGTGACAATATAATCAATACCAACAGGATATCTGACAGTTTGCTATATCTGTGTGACAATATAATCAATACCAACAGGATATCTGACAGTTTGCTATATCTGTGTGACAATATAATCAATACCAACAGGATATCTGACAGTTTGCTATATCTGTGTGACAATATAATCAATACCAACAGGATATCTGACAGTTTGCTATATCTGTGTGACAATATAATCAATACCAACAGTATATCTGACAGTTTTCTATATCTGTGTGACAATATAATCAATACCAACAGGATATCTGACAGTTTGCTATATCTGTGTGACAATATAATCAATACCAACAGGATGTCTGACAGTTTGGTATATATGTATATCAATATAATCAATACCAACAGGATATCTGACAGTTTGGTGTATCTGTGTGTCAAGATAATCCTTGCAATGCAATTTAGCTGACAGTTTGGTATAACTGTAAGTAAAGATCATCAGTACACAATAGGATCTCTGACAGTTTTCTTTAGTTGTAAGTAAAGATCATCAGTACACAAAAGGATACCTGAAAGTTTGGTAAACATGTATCTTTGTGTCAAGATAAACATTGCATTGTAAATTATCTGACAGTTTGTTGTATTTATATTTGAAGATAATCAAATCCATCTTTAAAACAACACAGTTGTGATACATAGGTGATATTAGTGTAGTGACATAATCTATACACAGCTATACACAGCAAACACGCTCTACCCATGTGTGTGGTTGAAATAGACTCTATACTGTTATGGAAGTTCCTAAAGATAGTGTATAAGGAACGTATGGCAACAGAGACTAATCATATTTGATAAAATTAAACTGTTAAACTTAGAAATATGATATAACAATATATCAAGCACAAACAAAATGAAAAATCAATTTCAGATCAAATTTAGCATGAAACCGGAATAATAACGTCATGTTTACGTCATTCTTATAATACTATGGAAACATCTGATTATTTGGAATTGGTATTGTTTGTACAAAATTTACCTGACGACACATGTTAATTTATGTTTGTTAATGAAAATTATCTTTTTTAAATTGCGATCCGTAAATGAGCTTCACAGTCACAAAAGATAATGTTTCAGTAAGTAAAACAAAATTACAGCATGACTAAATGAGAGAGTAACGCAAACATAAAGTAATGCCTAAGTGTAAATGATTTATATAATGAAGACATATCATTGAATTGGTGACAAAAGTTGCGCTTTCAACAGTTGCCATATTAAAGAATATCACATATTATTTAAATTAACGGTTTTGTCATATTTGTCTAAGTAGCGGTGGTATTTTAACTGTGACCGAGGAAATTACACTTACCACTACATGGACGACAGGTTGTCGTAACCGAGTTCGAACCTGAACAGTATGCTCCATTTCCGACAGGGCTGGGGTCATTGCAGTAACGGTACCTCCTCTTTGTTCCAGACTCACACGTTACAGAGCATGCGCCCCAACTTTGCCAACTACCCCATCCTCCATTAACTTACACATAACAAACAATAAGTATTACATGATTGTATCTTTTTGAAATGCTCAACATACCGGTTCAATAATTCTACAATCGTCAAAATAGTTTTGTATTGTACTCTAATGTGTAATGTACATCATTGACCATGAAAATCGTTTAAATATTATAATGAACAATAAATAGATATTCGATTAAAATTTTTTGATTGTTTCAAAACCATTGTTCTGACAAAATGTAAGTTAATATTGTGCAATAGTGTGTAATGGTGTCAGTTGATAGCTTTTTCATTACAGCATGAATGCACCAGAAAGTTAAAAATGAATTTAATCAAAAGTTATGAGGTACCGGTGATGATGAAGTTGATCTTTTGTAATACATACCACTACATGTTACAATCAGGTCCTTGGAATTACTATAGCTCCCGGTAACGGAACAAATTTGGCCGGAAGGACATGAAGAGGGATGGTTACAAACATACCACCGCATGTACTCTTTCTAAAAATTAAGAAAGTTAAGATTTAATTATCTTTTGTGGTCATTCATTGTTTATTCTTTCTAAGAAGATCAGTGTTTCGTGCCATTAACTGTTAACCGCAGAAGAACAGAAGAACAGAAGAACCACCTCTGTTATGATAACTAACACATTTTTTTATCCATGTTTTAATGAAGTCGACATGTTGACGACACTATCGCAGTGTATGCTAGGACGCCAAACAGCTTAATTGATACATTTTTTCAGTTATTTTTAAACTGTCATCACATCAGAATGTTTGAATCCTCTGTTGCAAATATTTCGTCTAAACTAATACAAAGTAAATTAGACAGCAATAGTAATAAAAATGATGAAGAATTGAAAATAAAAAGGAACTTACAAGTTATAAGAAGACGGAATTATATGAAACATCTTCAAGACATTAAGGTAATAAAGGAGTTCCAGAAGGCCAATATAGTTGTGATTGTAAATTAACTACCTGATGTTACAAAAAATAGAACTGATCTTGAAAAGATCTTTGAAAAACAACGGTAATGCTTTTTGAACTAAAATGTAGCCTTTCACGTTTCTATATTTTATATATCTAATAATACCACCTACATTGGACTCGACTCCGCCTTTCACCTCGTCCACTTCCTCCCATGAACAACCTGTCCGGCATTCCTCTTCCAGTTCATAAAACCAACCTCGTTTTCTACGTTTGTGAAGAAATGCATGAGCCTTTTCTTTGGAGATTATAGGAGGTTTCCCTTTTAAAAAGATAGATTATAAAGCAATCACTATGGATCTCATTGATATGTTAAAGGGCATATCTAAACACATTTAGTATTTTATCAAATTTATCAAAATAATTGACAATGAACAAGAAAATTATTTTGACATTATATGAAGATATGTATACAAAGTTTCCTGTATGAAAAAGAAGTCTCGAGTAAATCCAGTTTGTTTTGGCCAGTTTTGATTATGCTCGTTAGTGCATTTAGTGGTTTACATTTTCATTATCATCTTTCTTACTTGGAATACATTACTTTTACAATTAAGTTTACGAATTTGCCTAGATTCTCCCTGGACCCCTTTGAGGGTCTCTATGTAAAGTTTTCCTTAGTTGAAATTTTGCCCTAGTTCATCGATGTTGAGATGGAATTAAGATTAAAACAGTTCTTATAATATTATATCAAATGGCAAACGCTTTGACAATTAAAATTATACTAACAATGAGAGGGCGAAATAATTATAACGCAAGAGGTATTGCCCACCTCTATATCCAGACCAGACAATACGTTATAGTCTTCAAACATTTCTGAAACTATGTTATTTGTTTTATGAACCAAGTAATAAGGATATCAACACTTTGTAAGGAAATAAAACATGAACATTTACATGACGTTAAATTGAAATTTTTGAAAAATTGAAATATCAGAGAAGAGAGTGATCGTTTTTGAAAAGCGACCATTCAAATCATTCAAAAATACCTATTTAAAACAGTTGATATATTACTTCTGTTTCGTTTCCGTCAACCCGTAAATATTGAGAAGAAGTAAAACAGAAGTTTAAAATATCTAATCTTGTCAACTGGTAGGCGGCCCCTTAGATTGTTGATTGGCCAGGTCATTTGGTCAATACTTCAAGGAGAGCATTTGTATAAAGTTTTAATCAAAACCAGCCTGACGGAGACTGAGAATAAGGCCTAGTTTATAACTGGTCAGTCGGTAAACTTCGATTTCAACTCAGCCCTAAAACTAATAACTGGTTCAGAGATTATCTTTCGTACCTTTTTTTTAATAGTCACTTACTCGAGTATTTCTCAAAATTTATTCATAGGGACTGTATATCTCTTTGTTATATGTCGTGATATGTAAGTATTAATGTTTGTCGTAGGATTGCCTTTGTCTGGACTGACGTTATTACGTCTTTGCAAAAATTACTCACATACTTAGTTTAGTCAGAGTGGGAATCACCAACTTCGTAAAAACGCTGTAAGATTTGGTCAGAGGAGCTAAGATGTAGAATGTGGAGATGCAAAAGGGGGAATTATTATATCTCTTTAATATCAGCGACCGATATCAAACAAATTTCACTAAACCCTTACAAGTAACGTTTTGAATCAAAATGATCAAATGAACAAAGTGACGAATTGGACAGGCGATGCTTCATCAATGCTCCACATGGTAAGGTTAACCAGTCAGTGTATATAAATAGACAGGCCTAGTTAGCTATTCAACCAAATTCAAATATTGAAATAACCGTATCTCTTCCAGTTTGTTACAATCAAGATTGATTGAGCAGTCAGGTTGTCTTAAACTTATATAAAGATAATACCTTAACTACGTTTACTCCCAAAATGACACAATACCATCAGAGACAAAATTTACATACGTCTCGAATTAGAATGGTTGTTATTTAAATGTTTTGATTAAATATTATATGCTTACAGCACAATTGTTTCATTTTTGCAATCACATTTAAAGGGACCAGGTATTATGTGTGTATAAGTTACCGTTATTTCACGTACTATTAAAACATTCAACCAGGTATTCTGGGTGATTTTATTAAAAAATAGGTTTAAACATCTTTTGTTGTTGTTCAACCACCAATCATACAGCACAATCTTGACAATGAGTAGTTATAAAATGAGTGTTCAAACTTATGAAAAAACCAAGGAATTCAATAGATACAAAATTTGACAAGGAAAATTCATTTAGGAAAATGTATCCTTTTTGTTTTTTGTCTCTTATATAGAAGGGAGAATAATCAAATAAAAGGAAACACACTTTATTTTGGTATTCTATGTAACTACAAAGTGTTTTCTATAATTGTATGTCATACTTACGTCCGCATTGTATGAGCATATGGGTAGAGTTCTCAACTGATAACCATACACAGGTGAGTGGGCGACAACGGGCGTCACATATCTCTCGAGGAGAAACTTTTGTTTTTAAACCCTTCAGTGTAAAGACATTTCAAAACATTAACGTGTACAAACTCATATCATCAAACATTTTCGATCGGAAATTTCTCCAAAAAGTCATATTTTCATCTTGAGGAAGACAATTATGATATACAATTGCTATGCATAGTAGGAAATATGTAAAACAACAGCATTTCAAAACAGTCACACATACGAAAGACATGATTTATATTCTTATTGTTTAGCGTTCATTTTGAAAATGTTGATTATAATAGAAATTGATATACAAAACTTAACCTCAAAAACGTTATCATAAAACCAATATACTTTGATAACAAAACATTCTGGTTACCTCGTAAGGAACAGCGCAGCCTTCTTTACTTGTACATTTGTGAGTGAAATCAGTTTTCACGAAGTTGTTTGGATTGTTATTCAGGTCGGTCATAATTTCACCTCTAGTTCTCACTGTTATTTCGTAAAAATAGAAAGCATTAATAAATTTTGAAGTGATCGAATATTGCATGAACTGTTCAGAATAATAAAAAAAAAATCTATACCTATAGCTTCACATTTTGCTAAGGATCACCTATATTTTGAAAAAAAATCAAAATGTTGGAAAGGATATTATATTTCCTTCCGTACTGTTTTGGGCGAATATGTTAGCCTTCCAAATCGTCCTGTGTTGGTGTTCGGTCAACCATAAAAGCACGTGCATCCTTTCGAAAGCTAAGCTAGTCTAAGCAAGGCATTGTTCAAATTGTTAAGGGAATCAATTTGATGAATATTCTTTGCGTGTTTTTGTTTTAATATGGAACTAAGACGAAGCAGACAACGGTTAAATGACGGTGAAATGAATAGAGGCGTCGAAATGCTACAAGCTAGCATGTCTCAGCGTCAGGTTGCAGCAGACCTTGTGGTGTCTCAAAGAGTGGTGGCAATTATATGGAATCGTTTCCAAACTAACGGAAACCGTTCCAGACGTCATTCTGGAGGTCGTTCGAGGGCTACAACGCAGCGCCTTCAGACTGCCACAGCTTTACGAAATGACCTCCTAAATGCTTCTGGTACCCGGGTTGCCACTCAGACAGTTAGGAACCGTCGTCATGATGCTGGTTTAAGGTCACGTTGACCAGCAATACTAGTTCCCTTAACTGCTCGCCATGTTAGGGACCGTTTAGATTGGGCCCAAGCTTACAGCACTTGGACTTTTCATAAATTGGAACCGGTTCTTTTTACTGACGAGTCCAGATTCTGTCTCGACTTCACCGATAGGTGCGTTAGATTATGGAGACAAAACCTGGGGAGAGGGTCCAGGCAGGTAACGTTGTGGAACATGACCGATATGGCGGAGGTTCAGTGATGATGTGGAGAGACATAAGCCTTCGTGGGAAAACTGACCTCCATGTCTTCCATAATGGTACCGTTACGGCCTGGATTTACTGCGATGAAATCCTGGATGCCTATGTCAGACCCTACGCTGGCGCTACGGGCCCTGACTTCATCCTTGTGGACGATAATGCTAGGCCACATAGAGCAAGGGTGACTGAGCAGTATCGACAGCACGAATGGATTGGCCAGGCCGCTCGCCGAATCTAAATCCCATCGAGCATGTGTGGGACATGCTGCAGACAGCTTTCTCTGCCAGAAATGTTCAGCCAAGAACGCCCCAGGAGCCGGAAACAGCTTTGGTAGCTGAGTGGAACGCTATCCCAAAAAACCGAATACGCAATCTCATTCGGGGCATCCGCAGACGTTGTGTAGCTGTAATTGATGCTCATGGGCGTCACACTCTATTCTTAAACAGTTTCTCTTTATTTAGGATGAGTTTTGTTCAATTTAAGTTTTTTAGTGAATACCTCTTTGTTTCCAATTCTAAGGGTAACCCTTTTCCTGTGGCTCATTTTTCGACTGTAATAACGATTTTTGGAAATTTTGCATGCTGGTGAATTAAGCAAACAATCAATGTTTCAAAAATAATCTCAGTATAAACTAAATATAATATTTATGTTCACATATGCCCCAAAATAAAAGTGATCCTTAGCAAAATACGAGTAGTATATATATTACTTTTTAATTTATATTTCCATCTTCCTTTAACCGTACTCATTCCGACATTTAAAAAAAAAAAAAAAAAAAAATTCTCTATACCGCGGACCTTATTTGCACTTCAATTATTATCCTATACGACGTTTTTAAAACGTCGATTTATAGGAAGAAACGTTTAAATCAGCAATGCTATACAAATGTATCGTTTAAGGGAAACAAAATTGGTATGGGTATCCAACAATGTATTTGTATTTTCATTGATTACAATTGATAGCAATTGCATAATATCATTTCGTCAATAATTGTGATATGAACGTAACATATCGTACTGGTATCTTTACCACAAATTTGTCACTAATTTGACAGGAATCGTATTTTAAGCTAACGTGATTAAATTTTAAACGATTAATTCATTGCCACATCGTTTTCGAGGTTGTTATTGAATCTTTGGAGTGAACACACAGGGGCAGGGGGTCTGTAACGTCAATATCAAACGACAATGTCTGCAATGACGGAAACCAGAGACAGGGAAAAACAATAGATTAATTTATCGCACAAAACATGATGGCATTTCAACAAAAAACGTTGAAATGATGTATGTATATAGAATATACAAAACGCAAGTAAATCTAAATTTTACATCAACATCCGACGATATTATTTCAAGAATTAGTTTTTATTTCATAGAACGTTCAATTTTGTCCACTTGATATGCAATATGCAATGGTTTGAAATATGCATATCGATAGGTATTCTTTTCATAGGAACTTTTCATATAAGACATTGATTTGATAAATTAAGCAAATTAAGCAATTCCGTAGGAAATCTTGAAACATTGCTTCCATTAAATGTACTAATACAGTTTTTCTAAAGCATCTGATTTGAAAACGTATCTATGAAAATGTTTACTTTTATTCACAAGGTTTATAAAGTTACTGTTCACGCGGACAACATAATTCATAGCTGAAAGATTGTTTGATTCCGGGAAACATTGTTAAATTTATTCTTTGTTAAGTGAAACACCTAAATTGTATCCCTTTAGTTAATTAATAACTTGTGGTGAATACAATACTACTTACATCATTATAGCATGACTTAATTGTATGACATGAAACAAAACGGATATTAAAAGGAATTTTGTTCTTAATCTGTGCGTGTGTTACGTTCATCTTTAATGGTCCAAGGTGGTAGATTATGCTGCTGGATGTTTTTCCCCCGAGGTTTGCTGTAACCTTGATGCCCACAGTTGTCTCTTTTGAGTAATGGTTTGGTTTATAATATGCAGACTTTACTAATTGATTTGAAATTAACGAGTACTCTAAACATTTTAAATTCATCAATTAAGTATTGTTATGCAACTCCCTTTCTGTTTCAACAGTTTGGACTTATTTTGATCTCAAAGTTTTTGGCACCTAGCATCCCCAGGGACAAAAAAAGATGCATGATGCAGTGTGATTAATTTTTGGCATACTGTATTTGTTACTAAAAATTAAGGGTGAAAACCCAAACATTTTGTCGAAATAATACTACACCTATCAGCTTTACCTCAGTAACTATTAAATAGAATAACGAAATAATTTAGTAACTTATACAAAATATTGCTGAAAATAAAATGTTACCAATGCTAACAATGAAGATTTCGACCTCTTTGATTTGGATTTTTTCTGCATAGTTTTGTGTGTTTTTAGATATTTCTGCTTAGTTTCTAAATAACTAAAACATTTAAATCTAGCAAGTCCCGTCGTATTCATGATTAGATCTATATAACATAAAAACGATTTCAATACGGCTATGGTTCCCATGTCAGTTATGTGGATCCCATCCCCTTTTTTTCTCTTCAAACTCTGATACGCTAGTATCAAATATCCTTCACATATTGAGGATCTTAAATGGCTTTATCGAAATCACGAATTTCATTACCCTCGCGTAAACCATTTCCAAAGGGACGAGTAAGGATTGCAATAATTTGCACAGTAAAAGCTCTTTTAGATATGTTTTGTTTATTTCAGTGGGGAATAAGTAAAAGCTGTAGAGTTGATTGTTTTGAAATAAGCAATCCTGACCGCACACTGGGGTTGGGGTTTAAATTGGAAAAGAATTGTCGAAAATTTCAAATCATGTCTCCTTCTGACCAAGATATATTAGGATCATATAATCTTCGTGGATGGAAAAGTCATCACCTGTGGTCACCTATTCCCTCCTCATAAGCGTTCTTATACACAGAAATAACACTTTCGGGTTTGTGTGCACATTATCAGAAGCAAAATTTTAATTTCAGTCAATGGTTAGAAGTTTGACTGAAAATTAAGTCCTTAAAAGAAAGAAAATCAAATGAACACAAATAACAACTTTTCTCAATGATCTTAAGGCATAGGGTACGTTGTGATTCCAATATAAACATCATTTAGTAACTAATATACTGGAAATAGGTGAAGATTTGTATAGTCTTTGTATCTTTTTATGTGATATGCTGGGCACTCAATCATTACAATAATGCTTTGTTACATAATAACAACAAATATCAATTGTTTTACATCGCAAGTAAATATAAAGCCTCTTGCCTTGAGTAAAATATAATGTCATACTAATCTGCAAAGGAAGCAGACATTTTAATGACAAACATAAGACGTAACATGACAATACAGTTTATATGTTTCTATCAGGAAAGTATTGAACATATTGTAGTTTAAACTCACCCCAGATTTGCAGCAAAACGGTGGCTACGGCATAAAGCATCATGTTTGAGGAAACCATCAGCGAAATCCACAGATTATTATTACTCCTGCATTGCTACTACATACTTTGTTTATCGTTTGTTGAAATAACATTGATTGTGGTCCTAGGTGAGGTGTGTCTGAGATAGACATACGAGAAGTATAAATAGACACTATCCACATAGCGCACCTATTTACTTCATGGTCTGGTTAAAGTATTTAACCAAAAACATGTATTAAAGAGAACAAGTTAAACTAGATCACAAAGTGAAATCCGGTTGTAGGCAATACCTTGATATCGGTATGGGCATATCATTCCAGTGAAACGGGGTACGTAAATACTACAAAGTATCGAATTGAATTGCAAAGATGAAGAAGAAAGATTGGTGTTTGATGGTATTTATGACATGGTGCTGTAGTGTTGTGGCATACAATTTCCATGATGGCTTGGATCACCATTATATCTACACGTCCGAGTCTGAGGTTTTAGGGAAGACGAATATTACAATTGTTTGTCACGTAAGTAATATGTGTTTTCAATATCGTTTCTTAATTTTCTCAATTGCTATATGCCAATATGTTTATCCTTATTCAAATCATACTAACAAATTAAACACAATTAAATGACAAACGGTGTAAGATATATTCCTTCGATATTCTGTTTTACAATCAATGTTTTTCTTTGATCACTGTTTTTCTTTTATTAATGTTCAAAATGAGGAATCGCAATTATAAATGTACAAGTTATGCATCTTCTGCTCAAACAGCCTATGTGTCTTTTTCATATTGAATATGATATTTAGTCCTACTTATTCATATCACACGTCTGTAGTGGTGCGAGTTATTGGTTTTAATATGGACGTAAAGCTAACACTGGTGATTGCACTTTTAAAAACATTGGTAAAAGAGACAGTATGTCAAAATGAATGACACTGCATCATACAGCTCTCTCGTCCTTCTTGGACTCATCAGTGATGCTAGAAATCTAAAAGTTTGAAATCAAAATTGGTCTAAACTTTCGTTGAAACGAGAGGCCCTTAATTAACCGTTAATTATATGAATTTCAAAACTATGAGATGTAATAGTCAATTTCATATAACATTATGCGTAAAAAAAATATATTATGAACCATACTACTATTCTTCATTGTGGCTACCAAGGTTACGGCAAACCTCGGAAATCTAACGGTAGAGTTTACACGAACCATTTTGTATATTGACATATTGAGTTTGCCTTCGTCTCCCAAAAATATGGGGATGTTAATAATAACGTTGATATCCCTTAATGCAATGAGTGAAAAAAATATTAAAAACCATATTTGAAGGCATGCATATTGTTCTCAAACATCATATTACGCTGCAAAGAACATAATGTTATTATGATATCATAACATTTTAAGAAGATGTAATAGTTATATTTCTTCGCTGGAAAAATACTTTTAATCTGTTTACTTCCAATTCAATTTCCAATAGCGCTCTAATTTCTAATTTGTTAGTAATTATAAATGCTTGTTAGGACAAGGGGTGCATTTTACCTCCAACTGTTACATAGTTAAACCACGAAACAAAATATGAACATGAAAACAAAATATGGCAGAACACAATGCTATCTAATAACAATGGTATACCTGTAAGCACTTGTGAACGACGCGGGAATGGCAAAAAAACAAATAAGGAATAATGTTTCTAAACAAAACAGATCTTAAAATAAAACACCATCAAAATAAAATATAGAAAATAAAAGCTCACACAAAATAAAACCTTTCCAAACAGAACACTTAATATATTTTTTCAAATCTGGAAAATATATGCTTTACAGTGAATCACCACTTTTCTGCTTCTAAACTTTCACTTGTGTTTCACAAAACGACTCTGAATGATACAAGGATTTAAACTGACATATTTTATATGTATGATGTTCTGCTTGCATAAGGTATAGTTATCTGCAAGATTAGGGTAATAAATATTTGAATGCGAATATATTTCTTTTAAAATGTTTTTTCATTTTCACGAAATTTGATTTGTAAAGGAACTCTTTGTTCGAAAACAATCGTAAACAGTAATAACGAAAAAGAGTTTCTTAACAACTCATATCTGTACATTTAAGGAAAATTGTACAATTTGATTTCAATTAAAATTTAGCTTATTCCAGCTGCAATATATCATTTTCTGTAAGAAATACATTCACACAATTTCAGTTTATGTTTGGAGAAAGGGACAAAATTGTTGTAATTTTTATTTAGCAAATATCCACACCTTTATCTTTTGCTTTATATTTAAGTTTGTAAAAAAATATCACAGATTTATGTTTTCTATTTCAGTTATACTTTAGCAAAAAATATCACCTCAAATTGGTCGGTGAACATTCATAACATCAAAAGATCTATTAGGTTATGTAAAAAAATGAGAAGTAGGCCTATAAATCTTAACAAACACCAGTGTAATCACCAGTCTCAATTTATTCTACATCTTCACAAAAGTCTGTTTAAGTTAAAATGAAATATTTTCATTATGGTCGTTTTCAAGTATATTATGCTGAGCAGATATTGTTATTTGAAGTTTACGTCTTCTTTCAAAACATAACTTTTTATATGCATTTACAGAAAAATCAATACACTTATCGAAGACGTTTGTTGTTTGTTTTAAAGCCAGTGTTGAACTAGATTATCTTTTCTATGAAATTGAAAAGACTTGTAATTAATATAAACTTGGTTTGAGGGTTTTAATGAAGAGGAAACTGAAGTCGTCTAAAGGTTTTCTGATTGTTCCCGTAGAACATAACGCAGAAGCAAAAATCCATATATTGATATGAAATGCACGATAGAATCAATTGATATGTGTACATAGTTAATTTACACATGGATATATGTGTGATACAAAATGCTTTTGTTATTTAGTAACATATTTTTTTCTTTCTGAATACCTTTTTTTTACCCAATTAGAAAATATTCCTAATTTGAAGTTGATATAATTCTAATAACAACTAAAGATATATCATAACAAGGATTTTTTTATTTTATTCGAAGAGGGGGCATTGTTGAAAACATCTTTTAATAATAATATTTATAATAGCTCGAGGTTATCATTTACCGCTTTATTACAACATAGTTCGTTGGTCGTCTCAAAGCGGTTCACAAATTATTAACCGTGGTTATAGGGCCTTTGCAACCAGCCGACACCTTTCTCAACACCCTGGGGAGCATACAGCCGTTGGTGCCATTTCGGCGCTCACAGCTAGCATTCTTCAATTCCTGCACTACTAAACCACGTACTCATTTACAGCTGCATTAATTTGAACAAGCGAAGTGAAGTATCTTGCTCAAAGATACAACACAGTGCCGTGCCGTGACTCGAACTCACAACCCTTCGGTCACGAGCCCGGCGTCCTACCTCTAGACTACATTGCCTCCCTTTTTATGTGTTTTGTTTTGTTTAAATTCAAAAACAATTGAACATCATCATCATCATCTATAAATTAGCATACATGTGTAAATTAACTATGTACACATATCAATTGATTCTATCACTGACTTTATAACAAACAAACAAATCTTTGGTCAGCGTATTGTATTTTCTGTAAATGCATATAAAAGTTATGTTTTGGAAGAAGACGTAAAACTTCAAATAACAATATCTGCTAAGCAAAATCTACTTGAAAACGACCATAATGAAATTATTTCGTTTTAACTTCAGCAGATTATTGCGAAGATTTAGAATAAATTGAGACTGGTTTTGGTACTGGTGTTTGTTAAGATTCATAGGACTATTTCTCATTTTTTACATAACCTAATAGATCTTTTTAGGATGTGAACGTTCACCGACCAATTTGACTTAAATACAAAATATAAACTTGTAATATATTTTTAAAAACCTTAATATTAAGCAAAAGTTATAGTTGAGGATATTTGCTAAATAAAAATTACAATAATGTTGTCCCTTTCCCCAAATATAAATATAAATTGTTTGAATGTATTTCTTACCGACAAAAAATGTATTGCAGTTGGAATAAGCTAAATTTTGATTGAAATCAAATTGTAAAATTTTCCTTGAATGTACATATCTGGGTTGTTAAGAAACTCTTTTTCGTTATTACTGCTAACGATTATTTTTCGAACAAAGAGTTCCTTTACAAATCAAATTTCATATATAATGAAAAAAACATTTTAAAAGAAATTAATTAGCATTCCAATATTTACTACCATAATCTTGCAGATAACTATACCCTATGCAAGTAAAATCTTAAAAAATAAAGCAGAATATCATACATATAAAATATGTCAGTTTAAATTCTTGTATCAGTTAGAGACATTTTGTGAAATACAAGTGATCTCTTTAGAGTTGTGATACCGTTCATAATATAAACACTATACTCGTTATATAATTTGGAATTACATGTAACTGTTTATTTTCTAAAAACAAATAATCGTATATTTAAGGGTTAATTAAGGGCATTATATAATTATGTATCGTGACCGAAGGATTCCGGGTTCGAGTCACGGCACGGCATTGTGCTGTGCTCACTTCAATATTATCTATTCTGGAGGTTTCCTTAGCGACAACAAATATTTGTTTTACGTGTGAATTTCCCTTTATCATTTCCAGCAAGCTTATTTGTAGTACAAACTATGTACATTGCAGAACAAAATCATTGTGATATAACACAAAAGAAGATTGTGCAAAAGCGAAACTAAAATCATGTTCAGTTTAAAGAACTCCGAGGGTGTGTGATTTTCAAAAAACATTTTAGATAGCGCCCTAATTGATTATTGGTTAGTAATTATAAATGCTTGTTAGGCCAAGGGGTGCATTTTACCTCCAACTGTTACATAGTTAAACCACGAATCAAATATATGAACACGAAAACATAATATGGCAGAACACAATGATATCTAATATCCATGGTATACCTGTAAGCACTTGTGAACGCTGCGGGAAAGGCAAAAAACAAGTAAGGAACAATAGTGTTCAATTATAGACTACATAAAAGATGCTTCCAAGCGAATACAAATAACACGTTAACAAACAGCAATGAGTGAAGAAAAACTAGTTAAAGGTGTACCGTATATATAAATGGTATTTGAGAGAGCATGTTTGCGTTTGTGGGTGGGAAATAGACCGCATATCACGGTATCAGAAAGATGTGAGAGTAAGTAATGGAATATGGTCTTATTCAATAATTTAGACACATATCAGTATTGTACTGATAAAAATTGCCAACATTTGTAAGAAGAAGAATCTGCATAACTGTTCAGGTATTTCTCACGCGATTGATCTTGAATTGATGTGTTTCTCAATATATAAAGCAAGTAAGTATAGTATTACAAATATATATGTAAATTAATTGTCGATAGAATAAATTTAAATTTGACTAAAGACACCCCCTCCACCTTAAAAAATCCGCATTTAATATTATTCAGGTGAATTATTTCAAATGTAACTAATGTTGAGACTCTACATAATCAGTATAATCTCATGTGTCATCGCTTTCAATGTCATTTAAGACATAAGAACTCAATATCAGTCTGAAAGGAGTTGTGTTTGCCATTCCGCAACGATTTAACGAAAAAAATATGGTTTTACTTTTCAACAGCGATGTATTAAAGCTACGAAATACATGTTTGTGTGTGTGCATGTGTTTTTGTTTTTAATCTACATAGTTAAAATCCTTATTATTGATAATCCGTTTTTCGTATTTTGTTTCTCCTAGAACAACATCAAATAATATTCAGTTTTGTTAATTGCAGTTAAGTAATCCGTCATTTACACAAGTTTATCTTTTTGTCGTACAGTTAAGAGTCCACCCAGTCAATCGGTCAGAAGATGGCATCAGACTTAACCGGCTAAAATTAGACAGCATCGTCATCCATCAGGGAAACGAATTCCGTAATTTTCATATACTTTACCTTTGACGCTGAACCATGTATTCATTTATTATTGGGTTACTGTATAAACGTAGGTGTAAATATTTTTGATGAACTCGATATTTTTGTTGTTTATCATGGGATGTATATTTTTCATTTGTTCATATTTTAGGCATCATTCGTCGTAAACTCAGATATCATGGAGAAGAATTATTAACACATATATAAAAACGTAGGTGCAACGTGATTTAAGATGTAGCAGATACATCCATAATGTGAAATTTCGTTAGTAAATATTAAACAGGTATTTACTGTACATTTGAAAACCATAACAATAATATAAAAAAGAAAAATGCGTCACCTTTGCTCTTCAATATACGTTTTGACTGAGTGACAAAAAGGATGATCATCAACTTAAATTTTATATGGAAACATGATTTTTCTTCCAGTTATTCAAAACCCGCGAAAATGGAATCTCTCGACAGAGTAAGTATAACTTATTTCAAACACCGTCACATCAAACAGAATTACATTAACAAACATTTTGATTTATTTTGATTTGTCATTTATCATAATATGATATATTTTTAATATGAAGAAGCTATCACGTTTTATTGCTTTAGTGTCATCAATTTGTAAACGTTTATAATTTTCTTTTGCTAATTATTGCAATGATCTTATGAACTTTATTTTTGTTAAAGCTTCCTGTTTACAATGGGCAGTGACGGTTTGATCGACTTAGTACATTACCATAGGGACGATGAAATCGAGGCGGTGTTTTTGAAAAAGGCTATAGTCAGCATATTTTCTGCGAAATCAAGGGTAATTATCATTTTGAATGTTTTCAAATTCTAATTATTTCTATAACGTGAGGTTATCCAGTAAAATGTTCTCGATGTTTATCATCTCACTTTGTTCTGTGCTTTATTAATCATTGTCAGATATTTTAATACGTATCCATAATTCTAAAGAGACCAATATCTGTTTATAAAAACTATTTATTTATTACTAATGAATTAATCAAAACGTTTTCTTTTCAGACTGCACATAGCGGATCAGTTGTAAGCTTTACAAACGTCGAATCGGATCACTCAGGTCAGAAAATTCTATAATTGTCATTGAAAATATAACTGGTACTACGGCATTGAATATAAAATATACTGAACAAAAAAAGAAACGCACAAAGTACCCCCCTGCATTACAACTTAGCTGTAAGGAAATAATGGAATATTTGGTGAGGTATTATATCAAGAACGATATCCCTTCTCAACAATTTACCCTAAAATCAGCCAAGCGTGACGATGTCATTGTGTGACTTAGTGAGCTAATTTAGTCCAAATCACGCGGCGTGATCAAGCCAAGCCGGAGTTTTTCAAACAAATAATCTCAACGGATACTCTAAGGTAAGTCACATTAATTTTCCACGTTGGCATTTTGATTTCGCCATTGACTGAGATGCCACGCTTAACGCAAATTCAGAGGGGTAGAGCAATTGCGATGTTGATGGATAGTCATAGCCAAACTGCTGTCGCACGGCAGTTTGGTGTTGGCCCGTGTACAATTAACCGTCTCTGTACACGTTTCCGTGCTACTGGGTTAGTTTCCGATCGTCCCAGGAGCGGTCGTCCGCGTGTAACGACCGCACGACAAGACAGGACGATTCGATTGTCGCACTTTCGCAACAGATTTAAGACTGCTGTAGAGACTGCGTCGCATACCTGAGGTACTCATGGCAGACCCATTAGTCCTCAAACTGCCAGGAACCGCTTGGGTGCCGAGAGAATCATTGCGCGCCGACCTCATGTCGGGCCACCTCTGACACCACGGAGGCGGCAAGTGCGTCTTGACTGGATGCGCAGACATGGCCCGAATAGGTTTGGGATGCGTCGATGGAGGTGTGTAATGTTCACCGACGAGTCTAGTTTCTGTCAGACTCAGACGGAAGAAAAGGGTATATCGTATACGCGGTGAGCGTTTCGCCGACGCATGCGTTGCTGAACGCGATTTATTCGGTGGGGCTTCTGTAATGGTTTGGGGAGGCATCTCCCATGGAGTAAAATCCCCCTTAGTGGTCCTGGATCAAAACCTTAATGCCGTTCGATACAGAGACCAGATCCTCCAACCACATGTCCTTCCACTTCTAAGACGTCATAACCTAATTTTCCAGCAAGACAATACTCGACCACATGTTGCCAGAGTCTGTCGTGATTTTCTCACGGCAAACAACTTTCAGCCTCTGGAATGGCCCCCATATAGCCCCGACATGTCTCCCATTGAGCATCAGTGGGATGAGCTGGACAGGCGTATTAGGAAACGTCAAAACCCCCCAACTAACCGCGCCCAGTTCATCGCAGCATTAACACAAGAATGGAACAACATGCCCTTAAGGCGAATAAATGTTCTCATGAATTCAATGCATAGGAGAATCCATGCAGGGATTCGTGCAAAAGGTGCCCACACCAGGTACTGAAGTGTCATTTTGTTTTACGTGGGTATCCCAATTTGAGTAACTACTGATGACACGAATGACCTCACACAGACTTTTCTTCTACAGTATTGTAAAGAGTAGACTTGTCCCTTCATATTGATATACAATTTTGTACAAAGTTCCAAAAATATCATTGGCTATTGATTGCATAATTTAATTGTGCGTTTCTTTTTTTGTTCAGTATATTTTAAACGGTAAAAAATATTTATATGTCCCCATTTTACAGCAGTTCTTATAAAATTGTAGGTCATTTGGAACATTCCTATCAGATCCACAGAACGCCTAATGGCCAGACTGTCCACAAAACACACCGAAGTAGTGATCATTATCACCGCGGTCATAACAAGGTAACACGATCACACACGCACGAATTACTCCATTCTGAAATTGTGTATTTAACGATACAACCTTTAACTCCATTGTGTTTTCAAAATGATGAATCTTGGCCCCCAAACAAATATCTGTTTAACTCAATTGTCGTTTATACATTTTATTCTAATAAATTCTACATGACAAAACTAATTCTGTGTGTTTATTACACCTCATTTTCTGTTTACAATAATTTCGCTCCAGCAGGGTATTAAAACAGGGTATACAAAAGAAACCATAGGAAAGAAATTTAATGCAGTTTAGTGTTCAGAATTCGATTGAGGGCGAATTCCGATTTTCCCTGTATGTGCAACTTGCAGGAAAATATATTACGACAAAAAACATACAGTTCAACAGAAATATGTAATATTGATAAGTATTTACATTGTTCTCTTTAGCTCAATTGATATAACAGGCAGTTGCTTTTCGTGTGTTTCAGCTAAATGATGAGCTACATTCATTTATAAGTATACATATGTGCTTGCAAAGTAAATAGTACATGCAATGTGTACGAACAGTAAGCTTTAAAAGGATTAAACTATTCATTTACATACTATAATTGTCCGTATCATTTTCCATACAGTTAATACCGTCATGTTATAATTATTATACTTAGTTGGGGTTTATGATTTTGTTGTTGGGTTTTTGAAACCGTATGCAGAAGTCGATTTAAAAAATAAAATGAGATATTACATTGGTAAGCATCGTCGTTAGCTTCTATAATATCTCAAACTGAGCCATAAATAGACGATTTGTCAATTCAATGTACTTCAATTGCTGACCAGCGACTTTTGAACTGGGCCTGAACTTCTCTGTAATGGAGGGGACATGTTATATAAATAGTGCTGATTGATAAAATATGTATCTATTACCGGTCAATATTTAAGTATCACTTCTTGAAGCACAATTGCTATATTTGAAAATTTATATAAAAAATAATAAATCAAAATAAGGTCTCTCCACATGACTCGTACTTTTGATGCTAGGCTGAATTAGTTTTACTTTGTATTATTAGAGTCTCACCTACGATAGGGCCGGAGTTCTTCAACATGCCACAGCAAAAGATCACGTGTTTTTGGACAGTCAGACAGAGCAAGCAACATCCACTCGGTAATATTTTTTGGTTTGGTTTTATATTACTTAACGTCCTATTAATAGCTAAGATCATTTAATGACGTGTCTTCATGTGTGTTGTGTAAGCGTGCATGTGTGTATGTGTGTAGGAGACAGGGTATGTTGTTGTAGTTGCCTCCTTGTGATTGCGCGGATCTGATGCCGACTTTATAGTGCTATCTCACTGAAACACCTATGACGTTTCCCATATGGTCCGTACCAGTCACACTGGAGATTCCGGCTAGTATACCTATCCCAACTGGGGTGTATCAGTATTCTAGTATATATGCAAATATATACATATACGTTTATCTAGCTCTGAAACATTGCCTATGACCGAGCAATCACTGCTTGTGATCATGTTCGTCTTGTACCAATAAATATATACAGGGGATATATACAAAGCAGTATCAATGTAACAGTAAATCCAAAATAACTACGTATAGAACAATAAAACACCTAATACTAATCTAACTGAGCACTCTTAATACTGATCGCTCAGGGTGTGCATACATACACACGTGGCCGATCGCTCGCTACCCTCTCACTGATCGACCACCCTACCTGTACTCTGGCGATAGCTCGGATAGCTCAGTACGGCAGATGTCTCGCTACAGTGATAGCTCGGCAGCACTACATGTACATATGATGTACCTTGAGTTATCCTGACCACTCGGTGGTCCCTATAACTCCCTATAGCAATCTAACGAGCTCCCACAGATCCGTGCAACACAATAGCTCGCCCTTGTAAGGTATGCTACTTTCGATTGAGCGATCGTAATGGGTAACACAAACCCCAGCATTTTAGGAACAAATAATGGTCTGTTCTCGTGTATCTTCCGACACAGAATGGTAAATGGCCGTGGCCATCCCCGCTGGCCAAGAGGCCGTGGCCGAAAGGCCCGGTGCTGGCTGACGGGCGGTGGCCGAAAGGCGATGCACGCGCGTTTTGGACGGCTTATATATCCATATGTCCCGCCCTATCTGTAAATCACCAGGATATTGCACGCATCATCTTTGTGTTTTGACCGGGGCTAGGTCAAGGCCAGATCTTCTCTAGCGCGTAAATAACACGGAGAATGCAAAGGAACACGGCGGTTTGAAAATAAAAACTAGCTCGGTAGGTTCATCACACACCATGCCGAAGGCACTTAGCACAGCATTTCGCCCGGTCACGTTCGGTAAAGAAGAAAATGAAGTACAATTTGTTTCAGTGACACCTGGCTCTGACAAAACCAAAAATGTTAAAAATGAACAAATAAGCACGGAATTATGCATGTATAAGTGATCTGAAATGTTTATTATTGTTAAAAATTAATACATGTTCCTCCAAAGAGTTGTACATACAGCAACATAGATACAAGGGAAGAAAAAACACATTTATTGTTACCTTAATACATCCTTTATTGATCAAGATTGATCAATATTCACTAGAATAATTTTTGATGAAATTCGGAGTACTGCCATTTACTTCCAGTTTAAGCATACGTTTAACCTTATGACCTGACTCTTAAATGTTTAATTACAGAAAGCCGATCAAAGGGGAATATATTATTCAGGACAAATCGACCGGAGGTAATTTTCCCGTTTTTCCTTTAATTGATGGTAACAGTAAAACTACACATTGATTCCTATTAATTTTACCGATTACTTTAAAAACTAAATTTTTCAAGGACGTTTAAAGTTCGATGTCTACATTTATCACTGTTTTTGTGTTTAATAACGTGTCTCTACATTTGTATCATTGCTCTTCCGTGTCATTGGTAACGTGAACTGGTTTTGACCAAATTGTTTTCTGCTGTTGTCGGACTCTTCATTTTTCGATGTGATCTTGTGAGTTCTCGCATTGGTATAGCTTTTTAAGTTTGTACTCCAGGTGTACATGCATGTGGTATCCACGTATTGTGTTTGTTTTCAGATCTTCCTGATGTTTTTTCATCATTTGCGATATCGAAGCTTCGATTAGAGAGAACAAGGTAATATGATATTAGATCGTTAGTTTGTATTTCACTTTGTCGGTTATTTCTCAGATTTCTTTCAATACAGTTACAGTATAATGTACTTTAATGAAATACTACCAACACATATTTGTATTTTTCATTTTTATGAGTTAGATAATATCTAGTAATTTTCCATGGATAAATATTAAATGAAAATAAGCCTGAAATAAAGTGAGCAAGATTTTGTTATCTTATATTTTAGTTTTCCAAAAAGCAAAGAAGATAGTCACACAACGGACCAGTTTACAAGTGATTCGATTATAATCCAACCGGTAAGTTTGTGATATTAACTAGTTCTAAAAAGATTTTATTATATAGAGCTCATGCATATCATATTCAATGCGTTTGATTTGTCTCTTTTCTTCCTTTATATGTTACCTTACAGCCGGAGGAAGAAAAGAAGGCGCTGACAGAGGTCAACATCACAATGTCTTCCCTTGTTTCTTGTATTCTTGAAAACAACTCTTCAAGTGAGTTTATTTTAGTATTCATCATTTTATTACTAAGAATTTATCTTTAAATGTTTTTTTCTTTCTTTAAAATACTAATGCTTGATAATAAATGCCTGGAGCTTAAGTATTACACTGATAAGTTATGCAAATAAGGTTATTTTTATTATCTGTGAAGAAGGTAATTCACAATTGAAACTTAAATGAATCTTCATGCCGATCTACACAATATGTACCTATGTTTATCATAGATGAATCAGTACCATTTTTGATATTGTTTTGTCGATATAATACATCCTTGTTGTTACCTAGGCAACACAAGTGCAGAATCCGGCTGTGTCGACGATCTATGGCAGCTTCTAGGAACCCTTAAGCCAGCGGATTTCAGAAATCTAATGGAGAACGAACTGGAGTCAGACTGTGGCGATAGCGACACACAATGTACCAGGCATAGAGGTCTGTTTGTAGACATGTTATCTAGACGCGGAGATGAATTATCACAGTCTCTAATTGTATCGCTAATATTGCAAAGTCCACGACCCAGTGAAGAGGAAATGCAACGCTGTCTATTCCACCTTGTTGCTTTGGAAAAACCTTCGATTGTGAGTCCATGCAAGAAGCAAATTTCAATGTTTAAATGTGCTCTTAAAGCATACTTATCTATATTTGTATGGTTGACTTTTACTGCATTTGTTATTTATTTCACACAATTGTGTTATCGTGAACAATACTACACGGTTATCAGAGAATAGATATATAAGGTATACACCGTGTCATTGAATATAATGCTTTAACATATTCGATATGTTTAGCACTAGCTCTCTGTGTCGTTAGATACAGTATATATATTTTTATTTTTAACTAATATGAAATGTGTTTAGGAACAACATAACTTGTACCATGTTGAGATTACATATTATATATCTGGTTTTTTTCTGTTTTCAGGAATTAATGAGTGCTGTAGAGGACATTTGCATGGGTGAGAATGAATCCTTTACCGGTAAGTATTCCTTAAACTTAAAAGTTATTTATTTTATCAACTATTTTGTGTTGCGGGATAAAATTTATTTGTATGTTTATTTTGTCACTGTAATAACGAAAAATGTGTGACTGAAAAGTAAAAACGAAAAATATGGTTCTTTCACCTTTTATTATAATTTGCATTACTTTGTTTTTAAAACTTTTCTGTCAATGTTTCAGAAATTGAAAGTCTTTCTAACACACAGAGAAGATCATGTTTGAGTTTGGGCGCCTTGGTGAAGAACATGAAGATACATCATCTTTCATATGCGGATAAGGTGACAGCAAAGATAGAAAAATGGCTGACCACAGAAGGTATTGATGTTAAAAGATAGATATTTTCCCGATAAAGTCGCATATTGTTACAGAAGGGTATTTTGTAAAGAACCCCCGTGCAGATATGTATGAATTTAAATGACAATAAACGATTATATCTAATCGAATTTCATACAAAAATGCCATTTTTTGTTAAGGCCGAGCCTTAGAATTAGAAGAATCTTCGGAAAACGACAAAAGGAAAAGCCAATACATAGTTACAAAGATGACATTGCTACATGTCCTTGGTAACGCGGGGATGGAAAGGTCGTTGGATCACATAACATCATTTATGGAACCCAATGCTGGACCTTCAGAGTGGAGGAGAGCGGCAGTTGCTAGTCTGAAGCATTTCACTTGTAATAAGGTAAGTACCGCTTAAATATAACAATATTGGTTAAGTCTAATGGGAGTATTAATACAGATTAAAAATAAATATATTTACCATATATCGAAGAGAAAACATGTTTGCATGCTTCTTCTACTAATTCTTTCTGAACAGCATGTCCTAATGTGCAATTCTTAAGCCACGCTGTTTGTATTAACAATTTCTAAAATATTGATATGATTATATTTTTTGTAATAACTTTCCAGAGTGCTGATTCCTTACTACGCAGTGTATTACATGACGACAATAGACAAGTGAAACAAGATGCTTATGACGCGTTCCTTTCTCACCCCAACAAAGGCAAATTGACCGTACCTCAAAAGGATGCTATTCTTAGGTGGGAATTATATTCATAGGGTAATAACACTATTTTGTGTTATATGCAGCCATTTGATTAATTCTGAAACAAATAATTCTTCAATCTTACAAATGCAGAAAAAAGTGAAAATCAAGACATGGACGTCTATATATATATATCTAACTACTTTATCAAATGGGTTAATGTAAATATAGAGGTTGAGTCTTTCTTGTTACTTTAATGGTATTCACGCGATTCCCATCTCTTGAAATGGGGAAAACATGCATTGTCTGTTGTAGCTCTGACAACATCTCTGAAAAAAGTCATAGCTAGGTTGAATCTGACACAATATATTTATCTACACAGTACGAGTTATGACTATCCCACTCTACTGCGTCTAAGAAGAAGTGTGGTCACATACAGTGCAAGCCTTAAAGATGGAATTTACTTCGGCATTTCACTTCCAGGAATAAACTGGAAGAAAGTGATCGGAAACTCAGCAATTGGAGCAGAATTTGGCATAATCCTGAGGAACAACCTCGAACTAGAACTAAGTCAGCCGAATGAAATATTTTTGATAATTTTCAGTTATCGGCAATTATGTATACATTTTAGTCTAGGTTTTTACTACTATCAGAAAACCTTGAATATATGTTAATGAAATTTACCTAAGGCATATTCATGCTTCATCATTGCCCCTGTCGCCTTTTACGAACTATGTAATAAGCACTTTCTTTTTTACTTGCTTCAGACAAATATTATTCATTTGTACTTTCGTTAGTCATTCTATTCGTTAACTTGTTACTACAGCACTAAACTCACGTTTAAAGTAAAATTAAGGGATGCAGGGTTTGTAAATGTCGTTTTTAAATAAGCAATGGTAAATAACTTATAAAATGTTATAGTAATCATAACTGTAATTAATGTTTACAGACTTTCAGGGTCACTTTCAATGCGATTCTTCAGCTTAAACAAATGGATATCGAAGTTGACAAATGCACCATTTGCCAAAACTGACCATGATATTTGGATGTTGTAATTTTTGCGATTTTTTTATTTGATAATGACCAAATTTGGTGATACCATTTTCTTTGTGCGACATTTCAGTTACAGCATAGACCTTGCATTATGTCAAAAATCGTACTCAAAGTATGCTCGATTCCTTCGATAAAACCGATACAAATGTTATGTTATGAATTTTATTCATCTAAAATTTAAAATATCATAAAACTTTACAGAATTTTTATCGGGACACTTTGAGATAGATGTCTACAATGCAGCCTTCGCCCATTTGAACATCAAACTTCTGAACCTAAAGTATGCTTTGCTGGATGCAAAAATGTGTTATATGGGACATATTCGTTACGACATAAACATTTTGAAGGCAAGTATGCACAAAACTCTGATCATGATATACATTTTTTGTATAAAATTAAGTACTATTCAACTGCTGTTTTAAACGTTTTATTGGCTCAATATTATTTTGGTATACTTGTTTCAAGCAAACGTGAAAAAAGCAAATAAATTAAAAAAACAACTATACATAATTAAACCATTATCTTCACAGAATTGAACCATATCTACATATCCTTATGACATGTTTTTGCATTTAAAAAAAAATAACATTCAGGAATTTGGAATCAAAGACATCGAGGATCTTGCTAATATATTTGACAAAATGAGCGCAACTGTAATAGATCCTATAGTCAAGGCTGTTCAAACCTTCAAAGATGTCATGAACTTTCTGAAAGACGGAGGAATCGAGAAACTGTTCAACACAATTGTTCATGTGCTGACAAACCTACCTACAATACTTCGAAATATAGCTCTCAATTTTTTAGAGCATATCAAAACTGTGCATCATTACGGTGGAGTTCCCTGGATTGAGCATTTGAAACGAGTCGTCACCAAAATACATACTTTTATCAATGACGTCCAAGAAGATGCCATGGGATTCTATCAGGTTGGAACTAATCTTAATTAATGATATATTTAATTGTTTTGAATGTCTCCTTTGATAAAGAATGCATTGCCAGATAATAGTAATAAATAAATTAATAAAGAAATGTTAGATGTAACATGTTATATTTTAAGAAAAACTATTCGTAAAGGAAAAGCATTCATAGAACCACGAACGCATAGAGAAATTCCCATTTCATCATATGTTTCTTGTGTGTCTGACTGATATTACCGTGTGGCATTTATTTAATGTTGCAGAAAACCATCGATGCTGTCACAATTACCCTACCCTACATTGGCAAGAAACTCGTCGTGAGTCTCCGGAAAATTATAAGTGCCATCACGTCATTTCTCACCTCCCCAATACAATCTATAGCCTCTCTAGCAAAAGGTGTTCTAGAGTAAGTATGTCAAAGTTGATAAGTAAGTAAACATTGGTTATCAGGTAGTAACATATCAGTGTTACCAGTCGTTTATGACATGGTTGAAAAGAATTCCAGTGTTATGCACTCCTTAATATTCACGTATTACTGAGAATGTTTAATGTGTGGGCTTGCTTACTTTATGTTTTGCAGTATAAAACTGTCCATTGGCATGTTTATGGACTTCAAAAACATAATGGTGGAAACACTTTTGAAAACTTCAGGTAAGTATAGATATAATTTGGAAAGAGTTTATACAGAATCTATGTATATTCAAAAGACTTGTTTTAATATAGTAACGAAATAACATAAGGTGTAAGAGAACTTTCGCATTTTTCTAATACATACTTTTTATGAATTTTGGATGAACTAATTACAAAATACAATGTCATGTACACTCTCAGGAAAACAACTGATGTTTTTGCTTAATGTGATATGATATATGAATGTGGATTCCATTTTGTTAATCTAATTATATACAGGGAGGACGCCCTTCTGGCAAAGTTACGGGGAAGAACTCATAGATATATTCCAGGAGATAGAAAGTTTTGTTTCCATGGTAACCGCACCTGCTCAGTCGAAATCAGAGGAAGGTGAATCTACACGACTGTCAGATTGTTTTCCCTCTGTGGTAAGATTGCTTTTTATGGTTGGTTTCATCATTTATAATATTATGGCTTTTGAAAGTATACTGCCCATTGACAAAGTTTTCAATAATAAAAAAGTAATATTTCCAACATTTGCACTCTCGTTAACTCAATATTTTCTCGATTAAGGTTGAACAGACTTTGTGGTCCAAAGAAGAACTCAAACAAGTTGTTTTTGTCGCTGTCAACGAAACGTTCTTCACGTCTGATTTTGGGCAGGATATCTTTGAGAAAGTAAAGGATGTTATGGACGTATACAAATCTCTAAAATCTTCATACAAGACGTTGCAATCCTAGTAAGTATATTAGTCACTCACCGAATAACACTTTATTAAGTGTTATGATTTAGTCAGTCATGGGAAGCAATTATAGTATAATTTAAATCATTTTTATCAACTTAATGATACTGTGTCATATATGTGCATTTTAAATTGTGAGATATATAATTAATTTCAGCGTTCAGAACAGCATTAGCCTAGTACAAAGAGTATTTGGGCCAAAATTCCACAAAGAATTCCCAACTCATCGTCGCCCTGAGACGTCTGGATGTGGACAAGGGGTGTGGCCAACAACTTCCAGCAATGAATTCCAAACAACCGGTGTAGATGTTCGTCTTGCTTATGGCCGAATGGTACGAAACGATCGTGTGTTACATCTTTTAAAGAGTCGTTTATAATTGGTGAAACGATTATCAGGTGCAAAGTTTATCAAAGTTTGATTTATTAGATTACCACAGGAGCAATGATACCGTATATAGGGTTCAGAATATTGTTTTTTGAAAAAGAAATGTCGGTCATGTAATCAAAGAGATGAAACGAAAGCTGCTTAATTCTGAGACACTTGTTGATATACAGACACTTGAAATGTATTTCAGTCAATTTATATAAGCATTTGTCTATATCTTGTGTTTTCAGCTGGTGAGTCCTGTCAATGGCCGAGTGTACAGAGAATCTTCGAAGCGCATCCTTATTAAACCGACGGATGCCGGACTATCAGACTTTGAAATAATTATTGAGAACGTTGAAGCTGTTGATACTATCTCAGATGATGGACGTTTTGCTGAGGCTGGCGAAACTATTGCTATGGTATTAAAGTCGAAATGTGAGCCAAACTTTCTTCATGTGTCTGTCCGTAAAATCTCCCCAGAAGGATTCGACTCCGACGAAGATTATACATATATAGATCCGTCTAGATTTCTCGACCGAATTATGCCAATTCCTAGATGGGTGTTGGAGTGCAAGGATTTCTATTTCAAACACATCTTCCAAACAGTTGACATAGGTAATTTTGGAGCATACTTCGACGACTTATATAAAGAAATAAAAAGAACTGTTGAAAAAACAATTGATAAGCTTGCACAACAAACCGTAGATGACGTTTCGTTCGAAATCCAATTTGGAACTGATGCCAACGATGGAAATTCCTTTTTAGACATTGACTACTCTGGTGGAAGTGTCCTGGATACACTCAAACAATCCTTGCCTGATTTTGGTAACGTGATGAAACTGTACTCATTCAGTGGGTAAGCATAATCAATCTTTGTGTTCACTTTTCTGTGAATTATTCTACTTTTCATACGAGTTAACATATTATTAATATGTGAGTATTCATAAATGCATTTTGTTAATGATTTATTGACAGAATCACGGATGGGCTCAATATCCTGAAGCTTGTCGACATGGGTAGTTTCACACTTCAAAAAATACACTCCATGCTGGAAACTGATTTGCTAATGAAGCTTGATTTGATGATTAACGAACTACGGATTGCTGGCGTGGACATATCGCAACAAGATCCGAGCACCCTGTCCATGTCCAAACTCCAAGGTCTGTTCAAGGATTTACCAGATGACGTATATGGCGATTGGCAATCAACAGTTCACGAGGCTTTATTGAAATATGAAAAGGGTATGTATCTCAAGCATGTGTTGATTGAGCAATACACATGAAGTAACACATATGAAACAAAACGCACATTTTTTTGTTTTTTGTTTAAATGATTTGTTTCTAATTCAAAATTAGATTATAAGAGAAGTGTTTTACATTGCAGATTGTCCGAACTTTAAAGGAGTGGTCGGTAAAGGGACTGTCCTTGCGTGTAAAGCACAAACGGGTTGTAGAGGATTATCTTGCGCCGTTCCATTATGTATTGGTATCGCCAATCAATTCATTAAGCTCGACATTACCATAGACCCGTGTGCAGCTCTCCTCTACATCACAGATGCAAGTGTGACCACAACGGTAGCCATGGATGGTAAATAACTTTTAAAGTAATGACCTGTAGCTTGCTTGTGTGAAAGGCTGTCCACATGAATTACGTTGAAATATTTTTGTTATCGGATTATATAACATTTAAAACAACTCATTAAGAACCGCAAGGTTAGGAGTAATAATATCTAGTCTTTTGCTGGATGGAGTAAAAGGGTTTAATAAGGTCAATTGGTTTACTTCAAATTTCGCTTGCTGTTTCACTCATTAAACAAACCCTCACATGGCTACATTTGTCTAGCATTAGTGTAAACAATTTATTTTACTTGTCTGGTTCAGATAGAACCAGCCAATTGATATATATGCAATTGACCTCTTGTTTTCTTAACCTCTTGCATGGTTTAGGAGAAATACATACCGTGACCCTTCCTGACACGACTGCAATCGGTCCGGACTCAGATCCGTACGTGTTGACATTGACAGTTCAAGGTGAAGAAGACAATGGTGTCCTGTACTTTAGCGTAGAGGGGGCTCTGTGCGTTCAATGTCACACGTCATGTCTACAACCATTTCCCATCGTTACTGACGCAAGAGTGGACATTCCTAGCGATTGTAGTAACACTCGTAAGTATAACTGACGCATATCTGTAAGTTTAAATTAGTTTTCTCTTCAGATAATGCTTATAATAAGTGTGTTGGTTTATTTTCATCATAGCAAGCCATAGCCATGCTATACTTGAACTAAACAGGCGAATTTCATCAATCTTGTCAGTACTATATCTAACTCAAGAGAATATGAATGATATGTGGCATAAAAGTACGTTAAATCATCTTTTTATTTAAAAAAAAAATCAACCTGTGTTCGAACCAAGACACTGAAACCAAAGACTGTCAATTTGACACGTATTATGACGATAGTCTGGAAGCAATGAGGTCCAAAACCCTCAAAATGTTTTAGATCATATTTTTTTTGTTAATTATGACAACAATATATAACATAGCCAACTTGTTGATAAAATGGGAGGGTTTGAGAATAGTGTCTTTTGTATGAATACATCCTTATATTCTGCTTATAGTGTCTCTTGTATGAATAAATCCTTATATACTACTAATAGTATATCTTGTATAAACGAATCGTTATATACTGCTACTAGTGTCTCTGGTATGAATTCATCCTTATATTCTGCTTATAGTGTCTCTTGCATGAATACATCCTTATATACTACTAATAGTATATCTTGTATTAACGAATCGTTATATACTGCTACTAGTGTCTCTTGTGTGATTGCATTCTTATAAACTGAAACGGTGGAGTTAATTTAAACAGCAAGTTTACATATGAAATATGTACAATGCAAGTTTAATAGATTGTTTTAGTTCTTATACTCCCTATTCGACCGAAGTCGAGTGTAAGAGTACTCGTTTCGTGCGTGCGTGCGTGCGTCCGTACTAACTATAGTTTCCGCATTATGTTACAGCCACTGTTTATATTAAGCGACATCAGTCTCGGTATATAGTTGCATGACAGGAAGGACGCGTGTCGCATCTGAAATAAATTCATTGTAGCCTCTATTTGACCTTTTGGAAATGACCTCAATTACTAACATAATTGCTTCATGAGCATATCTAAAACACTGTTTGGGGAATAGGCATATGTCTTTGTATATATATATACTACTCACATTTTGCTAAGGATCACCAATATTTGGAAAAAAAATCAAAATGTTAGAAAGGATATTATGTTTTCCTTCCGTACTGTTTTGGCCGAATATGTTAGCCTTTCAAATCGTCCAGCGTGGATTTGTTTAGTCAACCATAAAAGCGCCTGCATCCTTTTCCACGTGTACACCCCTTTCAAAAGCTAAGCTAAGCTAAGCAAGGCGGGTTATCTGAGCAGTATCTACAGCAAGAGACTTTACAACGAATTGATTGGCAAGCCCGCTCGCCGTATCTAAATCACATCGAGCTTGTGTGGGACATGCTGCAGACATCACTCTCTGCCAGAAATGTTCAGCCAAGAACGGTCCAGGAGCTGGGAACAGCTTTGGTAGCTGAGTGGAACGCTATCCCACAAAACCGTATAAGCGATCTCATTCGGGGCATTTGCAGACGTTGAGAAGCTGTAATTGATGCTCATGGGCGTCACACCCGATAACAAAACAGTTTCTGTTTATTTCGGATCAGTTTTGTGCAATCTAAGTTTTTTTATTGAATACCTCGTCGTTACCTATTTTAAGGGTAACCCTTTTTCTGTGGGTCATTTTCCTACTGTAATTACGATTTTTAGAATTTTTGCATGCTGATGAATAAAAGAACAATAATTTTTTCAAATATAATCTCAGTATAATCCAAATAAAATATTCATTTTCACATATGCTCAAAAATTAAAGTGATCCTTAGCAAAATGCGAGTAGTATATATACATGTATGTACGTCATAGAATGTCGATGTGTTGCGTGTTAAAATCAGGTCACGGTGATCTCTTTTCTACCTTTCGCCTTTTCCAAATACTAAAGTAATGATTTCCTGAGCAAATGTAAACCAGTGTTTCATGAAAGGGTATCAAATTTTATTCATAGGTATATCATGTGAGGGCAATGTGTCGAATACATATATGAGGTCACGTTGACCTCTATTTGTCCTTCGCCCTTAACTTCAAGTACTACAAAAATATGTTAGCGTCTGTTTTATGGAAGGGCATCATTCTTTGTATATAGGTACATCGCGGGTGTATCACATTATAAGATGAAATCGCTGTGACCTCTTTTTGACTATTGACCTGCACTCCAAGTACGTAAATACTATGTTATACAGGTTTTTGAAGCATATGATGATAACCATTTTATGTATGGGTTTCAGTCAGACATGGTGTGGAGGTACTTTGCTGTCAGGCACTATGTCAGGAAATAAAGGGGGTTCGCTCCAACCTCAATATGAAATTGATTATTTTAATACATCGTATGTTTCCGGAGGCTACTGTTTTATATATGTTTGTAAGACTTGATGTGAAAATTGTCAAGCAGTGTATTTTGTGACGTTCATGAGGAATTAGAATTTGATATAAATAGAATTCTTACTTCAGTTTTCATTATTGAATACTTTTTGTTGTATGCTACAGAGAGTGAAATTAACCCGGAAGATGAAATCATGCAAATGACATGGAGGGATTTTCTAGATTTCTTATCACAAATCGCGGTATTGGACAATGATACTCTGAAAATAGCTGGTGCTATAAGAAAATTTGTCCTAGAATCGGTAAGTGTGTTATATTGTATTTACTGTACTAGTCAATATTAAGGACTTGCTACCATGCTATTTTATAACAACTTATTTTGTATCCGTATAACGTTTATACTTTACAGACTCTTTACTTTATCAACTGAATGTGTAGTTTATGATATTAAAATCCAATATTGTGTATTTGCTGGTGGTACATAGCAACCACAGTCATGCCGCTGCATTGATCTATGTCACATTTTATGAAGCATTTAACTGAATTTAGACTTCAAAATAATTTCAAATTATTCAAATAAAACCCCCATAAAAAAAATAAAAAAAATACCCAAGTATTAAAAGTATATAAACAAATCAAATAAACTGTATTCGTACAATCATCTCTTTGAGTTACACGTTATTGGTTCCCTTCTATTTAAGTAGACCAAGACTTTTTCATGGGGTTCCTTTATAATAATGTATCAACATCTGTGACAACACCAAAGCATCACAATACTTGTCAGATATTTCAATTTATAAGTCAACTCCCTTCTGGGTTCAAGTCATCAATTGAAAAAAAATGAAAATTGAGTATACTTTGTTTATAAGAATATCTTTTTGATAGTAACACTTCTGAGTTTTTTCTATGCAAAAATATTGTTAGATTGTGATGTAATTATTTTTCAAACACAGTTGGTCGAGAGGTCGTTCAGTGAAGCTTACACACAAGCAATATCAAGCGCATTTCCTAACGTTAAAGATACGTGTGCTGTTGACGAGCAAAGATTGCCGCGACTTAATGGGAATTTCATTGCTTTGAAAGTCGAAATTCCAGTTGGACCAATTTATGTTCAGCTTAGTAAGCATTCATTTTTGATATTTGTTTTTGTCATTTTGACATAATGGTAGAAGAAAACTGCAAGACTCTTGTTCATTTTATGACTATTAAACAAAATGTTATCACAATAAACAATGCGTTAATCATTTGTGATGTAATACCTTTGATCGTAACTGCAATTGAAATAATATAAGAACTTGATTATTGGTTCAATGCGCGATTATTTGTATTGTATCATGTACAGTGATTTCAACACTTCATTTTTATTTAAAGGGTTTAGTGTCGGTGGATCTCTGGGAGTATCAGTTGGAATCGAAATGTGCGTTCTAAGCAATTATGTCAAGGTTAGCACGCAAATTATGTTAGGCAATTGTGTCAAGGTTTGTATATTTATCTGACATAACAACATTCGTTCCATGAAAGTGGTTTTCAAATGAAAATATAATTCATTTAAGACATGAATATTTTCCTGTTTAGCCAGTTATTGTGTAAACTATTCTGATAAAACATCCTATTACATGATGATATATTGTCATTGAGTTTTTTTTAATTCTCAACAGGGCATTGTTACACCATCGGTTGAATTGAGAATAAAAGGATCAGTGGGAATACGTATCCTGATTTTTACTGGCGGATTAACCCTTGAAGGTCTCTTCATGCAAACAAGGTTTCCGTTAACAGTCACTTTCAGATTCAGCAAATTTCCTATCGGAATAGAGTAAGTTGACCATTTTCGAATGAGTAAAAAGAACTATAATTCTGATGATATATCTCCAATAGGATATTGTGTCTTTCAGATAAACTCTTTTATATGTGATTTCAGTCTAACCTTAAGATAACAATAAAGTTACGAATAGTTTTAACATATAAGAATAGTTTTCCTATACAAATTATTATCTTTTTTTTGAAGCAAACAGATGGACCTGGAACTAATACCCGTTACTCTCACACTTCGAGCATGGCTGGAAATAGATCTGTGGTTATTTAGTAGAACACTATTTTCAGGTGTTATTTGGAGATATCAAGCCCCTACCATACATGAAAACATATTTACGATCAAAGACGACGAGCCAGACGTCGATCCCCCATTGATTGATTCACCAATCTCCCCGGGGGGTGACGTGGACGTAGGCTGTATTGTTACACAGGTTAAGAATAGGTCCCCTCTTGACACCGCGTTCCTGTTAGAAGTATCAGCTTCAGATCCAGTCAGTGACGTTCATATGTTCTACTCGATCGGGACAACTTCCGGGACGGCAGATGTTTCCGACTGGACAGATTATTCCGGTCCATCGCTTGTCGTGCCTACCAAAGACGACTTGCCGAACAGCATTCCATTATACTGGAATGTCAAAGCAAGGAATAGTCAGGGACTCGAGATATACACGACATGTCAACTTAGCACGTACGACAATACTATACCAGATGGACGAGTTGACTCGTCGTTCGCCTTCTCTAGCCATCCAAGTGTACTTAGTGGAACCATAACAGTGTTCGACGACAGCCAACTGAAGGAACCGCATTACAAAGCCGTCGGTTTCAGCTCTGGCAGATACGGCAATGAGGTAAGAGACTGGGAAAAAATGACATTGAACAACAACAGTCCTCGATCAAATGAACCGTCCGAACTGAAATATTTTAGTACTCCCAAAGCAGGAAAATTGACTGTAGCAAGTTTTGCGTCCTCAAAGACAATGACAGCTCTGTTATGTGCGCATGAATGTCTGAGTTATGACAGAAAATGTGTTTCGTTTGATTACGCGTACCATACGGAACAGTGTGACCTTCATTCTGTTGTGGAAGGACACCAAGCAAAGCTTAGAATCATTGGAACCTATGCAAACTACGAGCGTCTGAATATAGGAAGTACAGTTTATGTGTTATACACAGATTTAACACTAGTCCACGGACTTACCTACTTCATCAATGTCCATGTTACAAATGTACTGGAATATGAAGGCTTCATGAAATCGTCGGGAACCATTGTAGATTTTACTCCGCCGGAGACAGGACCTCTTGGTAAGGGATATAACGAAACCATACAAGCTGACAGATGTCATGCTGCCCTTACACAGAGGTGTATTTACGTCACTGATCTATTGAATCACAGGTACGTATGGGTGCTTTGTTAAAGTTATGCAACTTTGAACAGGTTTACCTGTTGAATATTCCTTTGCTGAATATTTTTCTGCGGCAGTAGAATTTAATTTTATTGTAAGTTTCATAAGAAGTTTACCAGTTTCTATAGGTAAAATTTGGGGTTCATTTTTACGGTCTGGTGACCGTCATAACTAGGCTCCCAGTTTTTCAGGAAATATAAATTGATATATAATATTTATGCTTTTAAATTTTTCCACTCCCCTATTTTCTCCTTCATATATTTTAATCTTTACTATTGATAACATTGTTATGAGTGGACAACTTTTATTTGTTTTAAGGTAGTCTCAATATCAAATATTGGTGTTTTTTCCTCGTCGATAGCTGACATTTCGTTCTGACAAGTGAAATGCTACATGTATGCTTGCTTTACATAAACTTTATTATAATTTATTCTTTCATATTCCGTTCGGAGGAAGAGTTTTAACAAGACAAGAGTATACTCTGTAGTTCATATAAGTCTGAATGTTCATTTCGTTCTATGTTTAACTCAGAATAATACGAGATGGAGAGCAAGGACAAACTATCTACAACGGCCACGTTCCACAGACGGATCTACTTTACAGTCTGGCCAACCATTATCTCACAGGTATATTTTCTCGTCTTTGCCGAATATTGTGCATCGAATTCGCGGTGCATGAAAATAAAAGACTAAGAAGATTTCTTTTCTCACTAGATACATTCAAATAGATTAGGTATGGAACATGAGTGATAAAATGTTCCATTAACATTAACAAACAATTGATTTGATTAATTAACACACGTGACAGTTGCATGAACTCATCAGGGTAAACAAGTGATAATGTTCATTTTGCTTGCAGTGAATTTTGACGGATTCAATGATAATGAATCTGGCATTTGGGGTTACACATGGTCAGCTGGTACAAACGTGTGTGGATCGGACGTGGTCCCAGAGAGAGATCCACACGGCCATTTATCCCATGATAAATACTGGACTCACACAGGATACACCAAAGACCTGTCTCTGTCTGACGGGAAATACTACGTCATGGTCAGTGCTATTAATAATGTAGTGCATGGAGGCGCGTTAGTGACAACAGTTTGTCATACAACTTCAATCGTCATTGATACAACACCTCCTGTTTTTGAGGAAGTTTCCGGTGTCTATTTCGACGAAGACTTTGATATTTTGGCAATCTATTACACAGCCTTCGACGAAGGTTCAAAGCTAAAACTCATCGAATTCGGCCTCGGGAAGACGAAGCATGACGTTACTATACGTGGTTACTCGGAGTATCCACTTGTTACCGGGGACGACCCGTTTGTCGGTGTAGAAGATTTCGACCTTACACCTGGAGTATATGCCTGGATACGATTGCGGGTAGAAAATAACGGTAAGCAGCAACTCTTGTGCCTGAAAAATGATAAAAAACATTTATTACATGCTGCTTTTACTGTATATAACGAAAAAGTATTGTTTCAGTTATGTATTTAAATATAGCTGTTGAAACTCAGATGCGGAATATAAAGACGTGAAATGTGAATGTTGAATAAATCATATTAATATGATATGTACCTTTTGATATGATTTTACAGTTGGGTTGTTCACGAGTGGACATGGGGAAGACCCTATCATGATAGACAGAACAGCTCCTTTAGTCGGCATTGTCAATGACGGGGCAATTATAAAGTCTGATATACAATATCAATATGACACGACAACCATCTGTGCCAATTGGGTTGAATTCTACGACCCTGAAAGTGGAATATCCAAGTAAGTTTCCTTTATGACTTTTTCGGCGGTTATCAATGAAAAATGAAAATGAATTTGTGATATTGTTGTCAAAATATGGCTAAAATTACTCGATTGATTGATATGATTTTGCTATATATAAATTTCATTCAACGAATCGTTTCAGAAGAAATAATACGAAAATTAAGGTTATTTTCAACAATGATAAACATACGTTATGCTGGTAAACGTCAGACACGTGCTTTGATTACAAATTATTTGGCTAACTTTTCTTTTAGCTACCTTATTTGTAATTTACCTACAGGTTTAAATGGGGTGTCGGTACGACAAGTGGACAAGATAACATAGTTTCGTTCAGGAATCTCACGCACCACGAAAAGCATGTATGTAGTAGCGGTGTGAGCTTACACCACAACAAGACCTATTTCTACACAGTTTTCGCCTATAACTCTGCATTGAATCAGAAATTCGTGAACACATCTTCTAATGGTGGTACGTATATAATGGTGCACACTTGTCAAAGGAACTATGTCATGTTTGTTACTGTACCTGTACAAATTTATCCCAATTGTACGTAAAACATGTCATTGTTTGTGCCATGGTAACAGAGAGTGATCCTGACCGTCGACACCGCACTGTGCCATATCTCTTGTACTGCTTTTTTTTTTTTTTTTTTTTTTTTTTTTTTTTTTTTTATCTTTTTCATTCACACAGTATTGATAGACAAGTGTAGATATGCGTTTTCTGATCTGACACAAATAAGGCCGTTGTTGCCTATTATTGAGTAAGACTAATTGTACATTTTTGTTTCATTTTGTGGGTTATAATGAAAGATAAAGGAAGAGATGTTAAAGTGATGAAACCTCCTAGCGGAAAAAATCGTCTTTTCGTCAAAATGGCTGCTTTTGCCATGGTATTTGCTTTGTAGAAATTTAAATAATTTCAAACTCAATCAATGTAGGTTTTTTAATGTAAAGTGACAGGCAAGCTCAACCACGACTTCGCAAATACCCGTTTAACTAAATGGCTGCCGGCCTCTGGTTGGTCAAAAAGAGTGATGCACTTTGATTTCGATAGAAGATGATATGAAGGTGTATTCAATAAACAAGCTGGTGTTTGGGATAGGCTACTACTTGGTCGACATTTTCTGTCCAATTTCAATGAAATAGCGCAGATGTTCTGTGGCACTGCAAAATCTGTTGCGACTTCCTATTTTAATGTCCGATTGTAATACGATTTGGTTTGTAGTAATGTTATGGCATTGTATTATTTTGCGCTATAAGAGTATTTGTTATAATTTATTATATGATTTAAATGCTATAATCGTAAAAATGAAAAAGAACATGGAAAACATGAAAAAAGGTCTTATTATAATAATATCTGAAGAGACATATTATGTTAATTCAAGGTAACTACCCTATTACGTAACTAGCAATGCGTCATGTATAACTTTTCTTGCATGAGTATTTAAATTCTTTGATTACCAGGTGCTTGATTCATACACGCTTCACGAAAACATTATAAGTGTACGCGCCGTACGTAAAACAAAAAGTTTTTAATCAACGATATTAATAACATATGCACTTTCAAACACACGCATATACATAAATAGATTTGGTGTTGCCAAATGTTGTCAAATAACATTACAAACAGGGTATCTTCAATCAGATTAGTCAGTTTGGAAATGTGTTGTAACAAAGTTTTACTTTATACACTAACAATATACGTATTAAACGTGTCGCAATGTTTTCAAGACCGACTGGTATCTTTATCAACTGAGTTAGCGATTTGTATTGTTTTCCTGTACAACTCTACACCCTATAAAGGCGAAACGTTCCGGGTCTAGTGATATAGGCAATTTACAATGTCATCACCGGTGTACAGGTAAACAATACAAATCACTCACGCAATCATAGCTTGTCAAAAACGAGTCGATCTTGAAACGTTGCGACCACTATAGAAACAAACTTTCATTCTAAGTAGTAAATAGAAGATATAGTCGTTTGGCTCAGCTTATAGTTACTAGATAGGAGTTCTGTTTCGACTTATCAATTTTCAAAGCAGGATTTGTCTAACTTGTTACTGAGGATGACCCGTTTGTCGATGTAGAAGATTTTGACCTTACACCTGGAGTATAGGCCTGGATACGATACTGTCAGCCTGGTTAAATACTTACCACATCATTCCCTTTAGCCCATTCGTAAAACAATTAAAGTAGTAGCCTACATGTTCCAGTGTAGAACTTTAACGGAATTATCAAAATTAAGAACCTCTGTTCCATTGACGTTCACGTAGGTACTAAGTAAATATTCACATACTATCAGTCAGCTATCGCAGGTTATCCATGGAAAAACATAGAACAAGCCCTTTTCTAAAGGGGGAATATGTCACCATTGTAAGATATAAACCACGTAATTGGCTAGGACAGTTTTATATCTTAGCTCATTCGGTAAAGCATCAGACAAGTACATCAGAGGTCAAGGGTTCGGACCCTAGTGGAAACAATGCACATCTAGTGAGTATTCCGATTACAGCGTTAAAATTGTATAATTCATTAAAACAATGCTTGTGTATATGTATCCGTAATTGAAAACATCCTTCTCCAACATATAATAACATATAATGTTTCTTACTTCTGTTCAGTACTGGTTGACGTAACACCTCCTGATGTTGGATGGGTACATGACGGGTTATCTGGCCATAGTGATGTTCAGTTTTCATCCTTGTCAGCATCAAAGTCATGCACATGGAACAACTTTACTGATGCTGAGAGCAATATTGACCATTTTGAAGCGTCAGTTTATGTGAATAATGAACTACGGAAAACATTTGGAGTAACAAAAAATACAAACATTTTTACTGACCATACTGTTACAATGGAGCATAGTGACGTAATATACTGGACACTAACGGCACATAACGGGGCTGGACTTCAGACCGATGCTGCTACTGATGGATTCCGTGTTGACCATTCAGCTCCAGTCATGGAATACATCCGTGATTCAAATACGGGCAGTGAATATCAATCAAACAGTTCCAAGTTAGACATTTCGTGGAAAGTGTCTGACCCAGAATCAGGGATAAGCCATCATTCATTTTATATTCAAGAATTGAAGCACGGATCAAAATCCCGATTTTGGCCTAAGGAAAAACAATACGAAGTCGTTTATGAAAGTACCGGGGATATGGCATTTCCATTACAAGATTTGGAACTGAAAGATGGGGCAATGTACAGTGTTAAGGTTATTTCTACAAACAACGCTCTGCTGTCGACTCATCACCAATCTCAAGGTGTCATTGTAGATACAACGGCGCCGATCATAACAGACGTAAGTTTTAAGTAAAATTGTAAAAGCTGTCAATTTTAAAGTTAAATCTTCTCATCATGCTCATTAAATGATTGTTTTTGTTATTCAAACTACACGACAATCATGATTCAATCATACTCCGTAAAAAATAAATATACAAAATAGGTTTACTCAAAATCATAAAAATAACGCTTGAATCTTCGAACAAAATTACTTCTTTTAACAAAATTGATACATTTTTTTCAAGATATGTACGCAAATTGAACTGTGTTAGGATTATAATGCAATACTAAGCTTTTCTTTCACCACGGCAAGCAAATGTTTGTTGGTAAATGTTTAGGTAAAGCTATCAAAGTCACAAGAAGCTTCATAGATATACCTTGCATGGCGAGACATCTCATTACCCCTGAACATTTTAAATGCTTTTTGTATATCAATGTTGCCTTCATTGGCAGGTTCACGTTGGTGTAGTAGGGGAAGATGAAGATTTAGATGAGAATGGAAACATCATTCATGTCGAGCTAGCACCACTTCGTGTTAATTGGGCTGGATTTGATTCTAACAGTGGTATTTCCCATTTCTACCTCGGGGTAGGAACTGCAGTTGGGGACTCATCTCTCACCAATGGTTTATTGGACATGCACCAAAAAACATCCATCGTCCTCGAAAACCTAAACCTGGAAGGCTTTGACTCATCACAGAAAAAGTACTATGTAACGCTTTGGGCAGAAAACGGTGCTGGGTTGATGTCGGATTTCCTGTCATCAAAATCTATTGTGGTTGCGGAAGCAAACGTCCCTGGAAGTGTTAACGATGGCTTTGACGATTCCATTGACAGTGATGTAGAGACTGATAAAAGGTCGATCGGCGTGTCGTTCAACGGTTTCAGAAGTGCTGCTTGTAACATTGTGAAATATGAATGGGCTGTGGGATCTGGAGCCTACTTTTCAGACATCGTACCATTTTCAGATTTTGGAATTGTACTTCGTAATGAAAGTTTTGGACACGCACACCTCAATATCAAGTTGGATGAGAATGTGTTTTACTATATAGCTGTTCGTGCTTCAACAGGGCACGATTGTCACGAACAGTACATTGTGTCAACATCAGATGGTTTTAAAATTGACACAACTATCCCGACAATATCTGCGATTTCACCGCCAGAAAATGATACGGATTACGTTCACAACAACCAAAATCTGTTTATACGAAATGTCGACTCGCCTGTATTACATTGGGAAGTGTTTGATTCGTCACATATAAGGTCGATGAAATGGGGAGCTGGATCACTTCCATATTTAGACGACCTGCATAAATTATCAGAGACATCACAATATCGACTACAACTGGGAGATTTGTCAATCTCTAGCGGCGAGACCTTTTGGCTGTACGTCACCGCAGAAGATACGGCTGGTAACATTGGACTTTCCTTATCACCGCCAATTACATCGGACACAACAGCACCACTCATTAACAACCTTCACTGTGATCCAACTACCTCAATGAAGTATGGTATAGTAACGTGCAATTGGGACGCTGAAGAAGAATTCGAAAGTAATTTGATTGGCCTGGAGATCGCTATTGGAACATCTGAGGATCTACAGACTATCCTGACCTACACAGCAATACATATTGAAAAACAGCAATGGTCGAAAGATATAAAAACGGATATTGCTAGCCTTCAGGTGACCGCACTTTATGTAAGCTTTCGAGTTTCTAATATCTTGAACTTTGTCCAGGATTATGTTGTGAAACTTGACATTGACAACACTCCCCCTGTGATCGAGTCTGTTGTTATTACAACATCAATGGAAACCGGAAATGACGTGCAGACCTCACACCAACAATGTCAGATACCAACGTCGTACGTAGAAGTGACACTAGGCACACTAGAAGATGCTGAGTCACCGATTGAAAGGTAAGGACTTTGATTATATTGTTTAAAGGTTGGTTCGTAGGTTTGCCTGTTCGTTAAAATACTAATATCCTGCTTTAATTTCAATATTTAACATTTTAACTTTTCAACAAACAAAAGAAGGCTGTTTTCTTCCATGTTAACAGATTATATAAACTATAGTATGTGATAATGTATCAATTTCTGTTCGATACAGGTTTTGATTCAGAATGCTTACTAAATTTCGATTTTGTTTTCTTGATATAGAATATTATGATATTATTATTATATTTCTTTTTAGGCTTATTAATTTCATTCAATGCAAGCATTGTGAGTGCAGATAGGACATTTATTACATTTAATGCATTTTCATATCCATGTTTTTTTACCTTAATATGTACTATTTGGGTTCATATGTTAGTTCTACCAATACTTATTTAGCTGCATACTAATGTGTCATTTCCTACAGAAAATAACTAATGCGTAAATATATAGATTAATCAAATATACAGGTAATACTGTCTGATAGTTGATAATAGTCTAATATACAAAGGGCATAGTTATACATAATACAAAAAGGAATGTGTTTGGATCAATGTTAGACCGTGCGGTGTTGTTTTGTACCTACAAATAACAGAAGCAATCAGTGCGATTGATCTGCTGCTATTCCCCTGCCCTTACCTGCATTCTAGCATTTTCATTCACTTAACAAAAATAGTTCAATTGTTCATATGTAGTACGAATACCCGTCACCATTGTACAATATAATTTAAATAAATTGTTCTTGTTTGTTCAAAAGACACAATGGTATTTGGTACAATAACCATTTAACAATAATATTTATATGCATCTAATAGCATTACATGCCTTATACTATTGAATGATTACTTGAAACTCTGTCGGTTGACATATACTTACATAAAGCTGTATTATTTTGGTCGCCAAACATATTACAAAAATACAACAACCGGTATAATGCTTCATTTTATTGGAGATTCCATGAATGGATGATGAATAAGTTATATTTAACCGTGGCAACAATAAGTATTATGTTTCACCTTTCGATCGTTTACTCTCATGGATCCTTGCTACAATTGTGATAAATCTGTCATTCTGTGTTGGAGGTAATTACATCAGAAGTATTATACTAAATTGAACTTATGTAACCTAAGGAAATAACTTAATTTCTATTATTTATTTATCATGTTTAGGGCTCAATATGTTTTTATGTTACAAAGGAAAATGCTTCACTGAATAAAATATTTAATTATTTCTTAAAATCATCACGTAAGGAGAATTTGTATTTCGTGTGATCATAAACATTGACAATGATGCGTCCAAAACATAGCACGATACCATAAAGATATTGTGACTGTGATCACACGTTGATGTGTTGATTCTTGTGAAATCAGGTAATAGCAGATGCGGTATGACAGTACGTGAATGTGGACAGACACTTAATCATAAAGCTAAAGGTTAATGTAGCAAATATGGCTGTGGTTTAAACATTTATTTGAAACCATTTGTTTATTCAATAGACAATGAGTAAATCGATCTGGTACATAGTAACATGTTTGATACGATTTTGCTGCACAATAATATATGTCTTTATACCAGATTGGAAGTTTCACTCAGTAGTGATATTGGGGAAGAGGACATTCTGCCATACACAGACATAACAACGCCATTGGAGGGCTCGATATTTTTTGGACATCTTTCCCTTGAACCTGGTACTCAAGTTTATGCTAAAGCACGTGTTCACAACGTTGTAGGTCTTTACAGCACTGTACTCTCAGACAGTGTTATGATCAGTCAACCAGCAAAACTTGTCATACACGATGGAATATTTGGCACCGACAGGGATGTACAAAACGAACTCAATAAAATGGACGGTAAATGGTATTATTCTGGCTACTGTGACGTGCAGGAAGCTGAATGGTCCATACTTGACAGTACAGGCGCTATTTTACAACCTTTCCAACTGCTGCCTGACACCACTGTAATGTTTTATAACGATGAACTTCAGCTTATTAACGGGATCACGTATATGAACGTCATAAGAACTACGGATGGCCTCAACAGAACAATAGAACATTCATCAGATGGGATAACAGTAAATATCCAACCACCATCACCCGGCTTTGTACGAGATGGACTTGAAGAGGACATCAATTACCAGCTAGCACACGAACACTTGTCAGGAAATTGGGACGAATTCGGAGACAAAACTTCAACAGATCTAACTCAATTAATTTCACATTACGAAGCCGCCATTAGCAATGATGTCAGATATGAATCAATGAGGGCTAACGTTCACCCTTTCGTTAACACTAGACTTGATACCTTCATAACATTCAGTTCACTCAATTTGACGAAAACGTCAGTGACGTATTTTATAACAGTTAGGGCATACAGCGTGTCTGGGAGCTTTGAAGAGGCATACTCTAATGGAATTAAAGTCGGCTATCAGGATGGAATACGCGGTGGTTCTGTAACCAGTACCATGTATCAACATGAGACACAGCGGCTTTCATTTTCCTGGTCAGGATTTGAATCCGACATTGGATTGAGACGTTTTTACGTTGGAATAGTGTCAGCTGGTGTTTCAGTAACAAATGAATCTTTTCCTCAGGAACAGTTAAGTACTTTTGCAAACAACTTCGATGTTTTCCCACTGACAGATGTAAATGCAGACACTTTCTTTGAAGCTTTGGATATAACACTTCTTCATGGACAAAGCTATCACCCAGTCGTGGTCGCTATCGATAATGCCGGTGCTTGCAAAGCTGTAACCGGGGAAAGCGTTCTGGTTGATACAACGCCGCCGCTAACCTCGGAAGCGATTCTACTGATCAACGGCAGAATTTCCAGCACATTTATTTACATAGACAGTTCGGATACAGTATGTGTTGAATGGAAGAATATTACAGACTCAGAAAGCGACATACTATCGTTCATTGTCACAGTTTGGGAGTATCAAGGATGCAATGGAAATGGTGATGATAGCCAGAAAGTACTTCTGAAAAGTGTCACAGTCTCATCAGAGACACAGGTGAACTTTCGCGACATGAACCTAGCATCAAAACAGAATTATGTTGTAAGTATTGAAACAGTAAACAATGCAGGCTTATCAGGATTCACAAATCAATTCTACTTTCGTATAGACGACTCAAAACCTTTAGAAGGCACAGTAAAGATAGGTGAGGATTGGTTCCAAAAAACAACATACCAGTCTTCGAAAAAATCTATAAGAGCACTGGTCGCCATTGCACGTTCTGAGGAGTCATTCACCTGTCCATCACAGATACAGTTGCTTCCTAAGAAAGAGAACAATGCTGGGTGGTTTGAAGAAAGCACATGCGTTGACAATTGTGTACACATTACCAACGATTTATTAAGGCTAAAGATAGGATATAATATCGCGATAACAACCATTGACACAGGATGCATTTCAAGTGACACTATAACAATTCGGAAAGGCGAATATACAGCAACATTGAATGCTGCAGGAGGGAGCAATACGATATCTTCTTTCTTTATTGGAACATCACTGAAGACAGTATCAACTAGTTTAGAACCCCCTGTTCCAAATGATTTCTTTTCGGCGTCAAATGAAAACGATAATGCAACAAGTGATGCATCAAACACAACAATGTCACAAAACGGGACCGTGGGGAATGTGGATACACCCGAAATTGTTCGTAACGAGGAAGACATCGGCGTCGATGGCTGCGGTGTTAGTATTATCGGAGAAAAGCAAATAGACAGTCGATATTGGGATGGAGTATTTTGGTGCGTTGATAAAAATGGACGAAATAAAGAATGGTTCACACTAAAGAATGATCCCACAGATAGAATTAACTCACTGACTATTCGATTACTGGGTAATGAGTCGGGAACCTGGGATCTCGATCTACTTATAAATGGTGAACAAAAGGCTGTTTTGAGTGGAACATTGTTACCTCAGCGAGCAAGACTTTATTTCCATACGGCGACAAACAACGGGTACGTTTATCCGAAGAATCCGTTTGATCCATTCCGATCGTATGTGACAATAACCGATGTCTCTATTCCGACAGAGGATGAATCAATGTGTCAATATGGCAAAGGTTTCTTTGACAACGAAAGTGACATTCAAAGTATATGGCTAGGTGTATCTGACAACCTCGACGAGGCCGACAATATAGAACCATTTAAGAATGTCCAGACGTTTTGCCAAAAATGTACTGACAATTGTTCTGTTGGATGTGATGAACAATGCAGCTTAAATTCAGACTTTGAACTGTTTTCTTACCAAATATCAGACTTAAACTTGCAAGAAACTGTTATTGACAAAAGCGAAGATAGTGTTACAGTGAAAAACGATACAACTTATTATGTCAATGCAAAGGTCATCAATTTCGCTGGGGATGAAAGTATGTCGTATTCAAATGGCATCATGGTCGATACTACCCCTCCAGTATGTGAATCGGTGAAATGCTTAGATCCTGCCTATAGCAGCACTGAAGAGACATCTTTCATTGGTACCGATCGAAGATTAGGCGCATATTGGTCTTGTGGCGAGGATATAAGCGAGCTCAAAGAAGCAATAGTAAGTATTACTTCTCTTGATGATGGCATGATTGTGTATCAAGAAAAGAGCATTGGAATGAACACATCAGCAGATATCGAGCTATTCAATGGAACCAACTTCAAAGACAAAGGACAATATAGGTTTAACTTAAAGATTATCAATGTTGCTGGACTATCGTCAATATATTTCTGTGATGTAAAAGTTCTGCTTACTCCTCCGGCGATAGACAAGATCGAATTGTCCACCTTCTTTGGTGCAGTTACAGACAATGCTAGTTCTGTTGAATGGATCGAATTCAACGACAGGTTAGGAATATCTTGGACCAATGAAGATGACGATGTGGAGTTTTATGGTAATTGACATTTTTCAAAATTAATATTCATGACATTGTTGCAATCAACAACTATCTATAAAATGTATAAAGTGACTCATCGATTTGATTTTGTTTATGTCAATTAAAAAACAAAAATATGCTTTTATGTAATTTGTAATTAATTTTAATGGGTAACAGTACTTATATATTCACATCATGTTTCTGACAATTATTTCTTTATCTATCAATATTGTTCAGTGTGGAAAGTAGTATGTGCCCTCTTGGGAAAGATTTATTAGATATTCTTGGTTGTGATTTCTTTTTATCGTTTGTTTAAAGAGTGGAAAGTAGGCACAGAGCCAGGGAAAGACGACATCATCCCCTTGTCCATAATAGGGGGGAACAAATCATCGAGTAGTTTTTATATTCTCAACAATCAAATCTGGATCGACGGTGTAGTGGCACAATGGTCTCTCGCCGACCTTGCTGACCCTTCGAATCATAGTCAGGACAACGCAAGTAGTACTGATTCAATGCTTCAACTGGAACCTGGGCGATGTATGTACATCACTCTTCAAGCACGAGGACATTCGCATTTAACCAGCGTAATACATAAGGCCCCGCTATGCATTGCAAGTAAGACTTACAGAGTAATAACTCGATAACATTATTTTAGAAGTTTACTTATAGAAGGATAATAATGTTTCAAAAATATATTACATTTTATTATTGAGGAGCATTTGTTATACATTTTAACGACAATAATATGGTTATTAATGAATGATAAATGACCATTTTCATGATACGATGTTTGTGAATACTTACAGAGTAGGGAGCGTGACTTTTTATGCAAAGGCTGTGACTTTTTTTGTGGAGGAGTCGGTAAAGCATATTATTCAATGACCCTTATCCTCGGTTAAAAACATTTACCATATTTCGTTTTTACTGGCTTTAATTTATTCCCAAACACCAAATCTTCGATGTTTTTTGTTGGTTGAAAATCAAAATGACATCAAGCTCTCTGTTTAAAAAGTATTATTTCCAAGCTCTGCTTTTTTATTTAAATTCTTTGGCATTTAGTCATAGTAAGGTCTTTTATGGAACGTTATAATAGATGTGTTAAGAAAGCACACCTTTATACAATTTGCTGAATTTGGTCTGAATAGTATCCTTAGGATCAATTGATAAAATATAAAATGTATGAACACCGAATGATTATGTTTGCTTTACACTGCCTGATATACGGGCCTAACAATACAAACATGAAGGTACCGGGAGTTTTTGTATTCCATTACGGTTAATCAAGCATTTCAAAAGTGATGCGGCAATAGTACATGCCACTGTTCATTGTAGAAAACCTGATGAAAACCTTAATTTTACGGGTATCTGTATCTGATATAGTATGCAACCTAAACTAGCTCATCGGTGATGTAAACGTAATAATGCCTGATTGAGACAATTTAAACAAGGATAAAATAAAATGCAAAAATGAGAATAAAACCAAGAAAAAGCTTTGCTTTCCCTTCAGGAACTGCTGACGCTACAATAAAGTCCACTACACAGTCACAGATGGTAGTATATGCTTTTCAAGGCTCTATGACAACACTACAAGACGGGAATGAAGCATCTTCGGATTTTCTTGTTAACGTCACAGGTGTGTTGCACTTTTTTCAATTTCAGTGTGTAATATATGGGAGCCGCGGTGGCCAAGTGGTTAAGGCGTCTTACATTCTGCTTCCACTAGCCACTGTGTCGCTTTCCTTCACCAACAAGATCTGGCACGTCCTTAAAGACCATAGCTGTTAATATGACGTAAAATACAAACAAACCAAACTTTTCACATATAATTGAAGAATGTATTCGATATTAAAGTTTATAAATACTGTAAATCGGAATCTGTTAACCCTTTGTTTTATTGTTGCACTTTTTTATCCCCCAACGAAAGACTTGAGTTCAACAAAAGGATCAAAGTTTACAGTAGCGGTAAACATATGTTGGCAAATTCAACATTGAGAGGATCTGTTTTAAATAAATAAAAGTGGAAATATGACTTTCGGTGTTACATGTACTACGGTTTGCAATATACTGATAAAGTCAATTTCTATATATTCATATAGCACAACCAGTGAAGGGTTTGATGAAGTGACAGACAACAGAGACATCAAAGCGTCACGTCAAAAAAATTTCACTGATTGTGCGAAATAAAGCTGTATACGATCCATTCTTACCAATAAACATAACGTGTTGAAATAATATTTTGACATGTAAATCCCCTTTAAATGTTTGAAAGTTTAGATTTGTATTTTATGAGCAATATGTTATTTTGTAATATTACAAGAGTTTTTTGGAGACGCCGTTGTTGGCTTGTTATCTGACATCGATATTACGACAACTTACGGGTCTGCAGCATCCGCCACATTTCCGTCTTTCATCGCCAACCCTAACATCACACAGGAAATGACGTCTCGGATATTGACAAATAGGTCTGTCGAAATGTTTTTTTTTATGTTTTTTGTCATTGTAATTTTGATCTTTAAAAACAATATTTTATCGAGTAAAGTGATAGGTATGCATTTTATAGATTTTTTATAGAAAAGAATATAAAACAATTCAAATAATAAAACCCTGATTTTTATCATATAAATAGTACTATTCTCGAGTGTTAACGTAATATTTAACGTTTCTTGTAGGATCATACGGTTCCTCGGACAAACATTTTTTATGTCGCCCACGCCAATTTATGAGTTCACTTCCATGAAAATAAAGATCGCAGTCAATTCTACATTTGAACCTAACTCTGTACCAGTGTTGGCAGTCTGGATAAGCAACGATGATGGTAAAAAATATTTATTGATTACATATCGTAAGATAAGATTTGAGCAGAGTAAAACGTAACATGCATAGTCAACACTAAAAGACAGAAATGGAGCGGGACTTCTACAAGAAAAGAGAACAAGTCGATGAAAACAAACAAAACAAATTACATTTATCAAATAAGTTGAACAAAAACATTATTTGCTGCCGTAATATGTACAATATCCTTCTAAAAAAAATGTTGTTACTTTTAGGAACTGGCTTTTGGGATATCACAGATCAGTCATGTACTTCTGGATACTATGAGGTGGATGATGATGGTTATCTAGTTTTCGAGGTATGTAATTAATATCTTTTGAAGTTAAAATTAGAGAAAAATGTATTAAGACTATCTTAAAATAATTTCGCATTGTTTGTTGTGAAATATCACAAATATTCGATAATCCTATTTAAACGATGGTTTATTCTGAAATTCCAATAACATTTGTATTGAAGGGCAAACGCTTTATTTATCGATAATAACATACCTTAAATTAATTAAGTATCAGTTTTTGAGTAAGAGGGTAATCTATCGACAAGGATGTTATTTTTCTTACCGTCCTTCCGTGCGTCCATTAACTTGAGCTCCTAATAAGTTTTGATCGGCTTATTATTTGGTTATAAAACATGCGATAAGTATAGCTTGATGGTGTGTCTCATAATATTTCAATGTTCAATGATCAATGTTCTTTATTCCTTAAGCCTTGTGGCCCATACGTTGCAAATATGACATAAATATGTACAATATATACAAACAAACAAAGAGTGTATCATAATGGAGAGATTACATGCTTAAATTAAACAATATCATAATTAACCCTTCAATTTATGTACCTTTTTCTTGAATGATAAATGTACAAATTGTCCCGTTTTATCTAGTTCACTAACATTGTTTCCAATTAATAGCTAAACATATCAATATGGCAAGATTAATGTCATTATGCTGGTTATGTGATATGTTTGTCCAAGCTGTAACTTCTAGTTGTCGCAATACGTTCTTTAATAACTTAACACACATGTAGGTGTATGCAATGAATAGCTGATGGACCATGTAGCATTATCATGTTGTGTACCAACGATCCAATCGTGATAAATGATCAAAGACCGAATTCGTATTCCATCCTAACTTTTTATCGTCTCAACACTCCTTTTGGAGATCTTGTTTACATTTATTCGGATCGTGATGATTACAAGGAAACTTGTTCAAGTGTTTTTGCTGGCACTCTAACAGTGAATATCCTGAATAAGTATGTATACACATTGCGTTATATCGTATTACATATTTTATTTCAGATATGTCAAACTGAAACCAGTAGACGTAAGAGAAGAAGTACAGGTAATACTGTCAGCACCCCGTCCCAGTTTGCAGTATTTGTCATGAACCAAACGTATTCCAACACTCCTCCTGTGTTAAACACTTCATTGGTTTCAATGGATGAGGATACTTACTTGGATACTGTTCAGCTTCTCTGGTCCGACGCAGATTCAGACAGCGTTACATTTGAACTCTCCTCGATTCACGAGAATGACTCGATCAATATAACTAGTGACGGGAAGCTAAGCTTTACCCCACTTCCGCACTACGTAGGCGCATTTCCAGTAAATGTGATACTGAAAGAAAACACGTCACATGCAGAGAAGCTGGAAACTAATGGTGTGCTAAGCATCTATGTCGTTAACGTAAATGACCCACCTATTTTGTTGTTCCAACAACAGGACGGATCTGTTTCTGATTCTCGTCAAATACACAATACCACACTCTTTCTTGAAAGTAACCTTACCCAATATGATATAGGTACATTGGTGGTTTATGACTTTGACGAAAATGATACATTTGTGTTTTTGGAAATGACCAAGCGCAATGGTCAGGTGACCAATGAAACAACTATGAGTATTCACGAGACAACGGAAAGATCTATATTAGTAGATGTTATGGACTCGGAGTATGTAAAACAGACTTTATACGCCAATGTTAATGTTTCGTCTCAAAACAACTTGACAGGGGAGATACATTTCCATTTTCGCGTTCATGACCATGATATTGCCTACTCATACGAACATGTTGCAGTCGTGTTTTTCCTGTTCAACCCATGTGTGCATGGCAGTTGTGGAACTAAAGTCACAGACGGACCACCATGTAACAGTACACTTAGATCGGTGACATTCGAACCATACGTATGTGTTTGCGAGAAGGGATTCGAAGGTGTCTGGTGCCAGGATGAAATTGATGAGTGTGAAACCATAGGCTGCTCGTGGTTTCACTTTTGCACTGACATAATAGGCGACGTGGAGTGCACACTGAACTACAGCAAACTGATCCCAATAACAATCGTGTGTAGCTTGGCAGTCATTGCTCTTGGTGTCAGTATTTGGGTATTCGGGAGACAACAGTACCGGAAGTCGGTGCACAAGGATACAGTCGATGTGGACAGCATTGGATCGCAAACAAAGTATGTACAAATAAATCAGGTTTGTTTCAGGAAAAGTCAACCCACATACTACATGTTAAGTCATTTAATCGTTATTGATTCCTCTAACGTAAATGATCTTACATTCAATTATTGTCATAATTTGAGATTTAAAGTAAATTAAATGCAAACTGATTTATTTACTAAGGTTTGATAGCCTGATATGTGTTTTTCTTGTTTCAATATGCAGCTGGAAATCAAGGAATGTTTCGCGTGCTTGTGATTTTCATCTTTGATCTTTAATCGTCTTCAGACGTTTTAAAAATAGGGAAGCTATAACAAATATTCACTGCATGATATGGTGTTGTGAAAGTATATGTACAATATAAATCTTATGAAAAACAAAGTCTGGTTATGTATTCAATGTCGTATGTGGCCAATATTGAATGTTTTGTAATACAACTTGTACAAAGATGTATATAAAAAATACTTATTTCCGTACAGCTTTGCCTTCGAAGATAGCGAAGAATTACGGCCAGCTTCAACAAAGGCAGCTTGGCCTCCGACGTCCACCACATTCCGTCATCCAACCTTAGAAAATAAAAAGGTGTGATACTGAAACAGTAATGAAATTATATACGAAAAATAATATAACGTCTACTTAGAACAGTTCATGGACAGTACAGCCAACGATCATGTTAAGAGTGGTAGTTTCATCTCGATACATTATAAATATATTTTCTCAGTGTAGCTACCATTATCTCAATTCAGAAGTGTATACAAGTATACATAGATATCCTGTTAATAGTATTTATATAGTGTTATAAAGGTAGATCCAATGCATTTAAAACACGTGTGGAAAACAAATTAGATTATAAATAACACACTATATGTTATTGATTTCAGCCAATATTCAATCATAAATGGAATACCCAAAGACTGGATCAACCAGATGAGGAAATTCCGACCTATGGTCAAGGATATCTCAGTGGACCGAAGGATGATACGGTATTCTCTCTCCTTTATCCTATTCGTTTATCACTTTTATATGAATACCACTTAATTTTACATCGATGCTATACTGTATACAAATATAGGTAAAAGTACGTTGGGATGCTCATTTTGTAAACATTTTACAGTGACACAAACTGCTACAGTATTTTTTAAGATTTCTGCTTTTACGTGATTTTTGCAATATCTTTAAACCTGTCAGTGAAACGCTTGATGTTTCGCCACAAATAACATTTTCCCCATGCTTTGAATCAATCACGCAAATGACCTGGTTTTAGAAATTCTGCTCTGTCATTATATCTTTAATTACGAAACTTACACAAAACAGTTAGACAGTGTGCTAGTCACGTCATACTGACGGGACTATTAAGTAGCATAATTACTACAAAGATACATTTTTGATCGGTGTCTTTGCTGTAATGAGAATGCTTAAATATTTTATCTCGATTATGCCATTAAAACGTGAATTTTGAGGTAAAACTTGTAATAAAGTTGGCGTTCAAAACATTTTCTCATTTTTTTTTCATTGTGTTTTCCGTGTACAAGGTTTTTATTGATAGTTGGACATCAACATTGCTACGGCAGACATACTATTATGGGTGCATATATTTAGCTGCTGGTGGAGAAATATAAATGTTCCATATGTCCTCCATTCTATAAATTGCCCAATCCTCTAACCATATACTTTAAAATCAACGTCAATCTTATGTATTCATTATTTCTAACTTACGGAAAAGAGTTAATTCTTCATGCTAGAAAGGTAACAAATAGGGGTATTTTTAGTTCACCTGCCCGAAGAACAAGAGAGCGTATGCCATGGCGCAGCGTCCGTCGTCCGTCCGTCAACTTTTCCTTTGAAACACTACTTGTCCTGAACGGCTCAGTAGATTTCGACTAAATTTGGTCTGGAGCATCCTTAAACAAATAGGACTCAATTTTGTATAAATAGTGAGTGTTGACCTCGTTGGGCAGAAGGGCGGGGCTCACTTCGGGGAATTGAGGTAAAACCTTTAAAATCCTTCTTCTACCGTAGCGATTAAGGAATTTTATCCTTATTTGGTCTTGAGCATCCTGAGGCCAAGGGGACTCGATTTTGTATAAACGGTGGGTGTGGCCCCACTGGGGGCAGAGGGACGGGGCCCAATGGGGGAAATAGAGGTAAACCATTAAAATCCTTCTTCTACCGTAGGGATAAATAGATTTTTATCATGATTTGGTCTGGAGCATCCTCAATTTTGTTTAAACAGTCGATATGGACCCCTTGGGGGCAGAGGATCAGGGCCCAATAGGGAAAATAAAGGTAAAACATTTAAAAGCATTCTTCTACCGTAGGGATTACGGGATTTTATACTAATTTGGTCTGGAGCATCCTTAGGCCAAGGGGACTCAATTTTGTATAAACGGTGGATGTGACTCTCCTAGGGGCATAGGGGCGGGGCCGAATAGGGGAAATAGAGGTAAATCTTTAAAATCCTTCTCCTACAGGAATGATTAAGGGATTTTATCCTAATAGGTCTGGAGCATCCTTGGGGAAACGGAACTGAATTTTGTATAAACGGTAGGGTTGGCTCTCCTTAGGGTAACGTGGCCCAATATGGGAAATAGAGGTAAAACATTTGAAATATTTCTTCTACCATAGGGATTAAGGGATTTTATCCCAATTTAGTCTGGATCATCCTTTGGCCAAGGGGGCTTAATTTTGCCTGGGCGCAGATGGGCGGGGCCCAATAGGGGAAATAGAGGAAATTATTTAAAATCCTTCTTCTACAATAGGGATTAAGGGATTTCCTCCTAACTTTGTCTGAAGCATTATTGGGCCAATGGGACTCAGTTTTGTAGAAACGATTGGCTTGGACTCCCTGTGGGCAGAGTTGCGGGGCTCAATAGGGGAAATAGAGGTTAAAAATGTAAAATCCTTCCTCTACCATAGAGATTAAGGGACTTTATCCCAATTTAGCCTTGCGCATCCGTGGACAACGGGCACTTCATTTTGTATAAACGAACGGTGAGGCCCCTCTCGGTGCTGAGAGTTGCAGGGCCCAATAGGGAAATTTGAGGTGTAAGCTTTAAAATCTTTCTTCTTTGTACCATTTGAGGAATAATTTCCCATGGTTGCTTTATTATCCAGGTGAGCGATAAGGCCCTCTAGGCCTCTTGCTGTATGTCTGTAAGTATGTTTTGAGAATAGTATCACTTGCACATATACATAGTTTTTGTTTGATTTATTGACAAATACGTACTAGTTGCGTTCAGTTTCATATGCTTTACATATCTACAATATTTTATGTTTGGTATGCTATTAAAAAACAGTTCTCACAAAACATTCTTTAAACATTAGTTTTCACATCTTAAGGAGCCAAATAATATTAAATTAAAAACATGTTGAGCATCGGTGTTTTTTTTCATGAACAGAAAATATTTAGGGACGAAACAAATATGGGGTCCTTTGGAAGTCTACGATCTGGACCGTTTTATGTGAAACATGCATGGCAAGAAACAACATCTCCGTTTGATGTTCCTGGTCATGGGGAAAATGTATGTATAATTGTATTAGAAATAAAGCTACCTGTCATATTATTATAGAGTACGTGTAGGTATTTCTAACATTTTAAACAATAGTAATATATGTAAGATAATCCTACAATATGATAAAACGAACGATTGTCATAGTGGTTATCTCTCATCATAACTGTATTTATTCAGTGTTAACGTATTATATGGATCCTGTTAATAATAAAATTAGATGTTTTATTTAAATGATCATATATTGGTTGTGGGTGTTAAGAACACAATATGAAAATTGTTCCGATAGTATTTCCTCTGAATGTCACACATTAGCATTGTATTGAGAGCTATTTATAAGCTTCTATTAATATAAATTCACAAACTGAGGCAATAGCTTTACAAAATTTGTATAATTTTGTAGGGTAACTTTGATGGTGAGGACTTGGAATCTTTGCCATTTTCGACAATCATGACTCAAAAACAAGGAAAACCCCCGACTTCAACTTCGTATCCGTTATTTGGACCGCAATAAAAGGTATTTTTACATAACACCATCTCTTCTCCTTTCGCTCAACAGTAATTTAGATCTAGTTGAAACCTATAACGACGAAACAGCTGAATGGTGCAGTGAAGTTCTTATGGTAGGCTTAATAGCCACAGCTTTCCCTTTTGAGACGTGACATGTATCATAATATGCGCATACAAATTATTACTTATTTCAAATTAAAGGAATACCTCTATACCTATGATATTCGTATAATCAAAACGGTTTTCATCCCATTCTGTCACAATAGTAGTTTAGACCAGTTTGGAGTTCTATCGTTTTAGCATGAACATTATGTCCTTGAAAGATGGAACAGATGGTCTATCAGTGTTCTTCAATGTTTGCATACTGTAACTATTACAAAAGTGTATCATCCGTTCGTTAACTGGATGATGTAGTTGTGGGTCATCTAATTCTATAATTGAGTTACAAACGATACTTCTACGGCGTATAGAACAGGGTCATCCATTTATAATCAATGTATAGTATCGACTGTTATATTGGTCTGTCCAACGTGGTATGCTATATGAGATTATTTGTTTGTTTGACAGAGTTAGCCGTTCATTGGAAGCAACGGAAATTGTCCAAAGGAATCAGAGCTTGTCATCCTTGTGTGTCACCAAATAGCCGCGTGCATCCGTCGGAAGTTTCCATGACTGTCATATGGACTGTGATTTGACTCACGTTCGCCATAAACTGTCACGATTTATTTATTTTTATTGATGACAGGTTGTTAGAGTGAATATACACAATATCCGTTGACGAATACCAAATGTGACTTGTCACTGACATTATTTTTTTACTTTTTTTATATATATTTTCTCATTTTCAATTTTAATCTTGTAGCACTTTAACCATTAGCATAGTTGAAATGTAAATTATCGTATATTGTTATATAAGCAATCACATCCGTGCTTCTGAAATCCAATATCTTATGCAAATAATTGTATCGATGATCTAAAAAACAGTGACCTTGTCCTAGGCTAAAACATCTCAACGCGAGCAGCATTTCTTGGTCTCACATCGCTACTATTATCTTCTTAGCATATGACTATCAAACCATAGCAACAGCTTACGTTTATGGATCTGACGTCAAACAACACACTTATCGGATCTAGGGTGAGACAGAGAAATTGTACAAGGGGTCAAATGTAGGTCAGACACGTTAAGCTTGTAGAGTCTTGGCAACTTTTTTCACATTTGTCATTATCTCAAGCGATCCTATATTATAATTTTATTGTTTATCAATTATAACCTAACACATTATTTATATACCATATTAATCAAATCAACTTATTTTTAATAGCATGAAGGCATTTGTTGTAGGTATTTACATCTTTATATGCCCATCTGCACAGAAAATACCAAAAGTAAAATTGAACATGAAAGTCCAATTGGTGTTCGATGAATGTAGGATGGGATGTGAAGTTTTACCCATAATATATATCTAAATTCAAACTATTGTTGTGAATCTATACTCTTGTAGATCTCCAAAAGCAGTTTCGAGTAGCAAACTATCGTATATTTCGAATCATCGATGTGCTTCACACAGGTATAATGGGACAGTGAATTTTTGAATTTAGTTATAGCCGATTAAATGATTATGACTTAAATAAACAAAAGCAACCTTACGCACTTTTAATCATTATTTAAACACATGTGCTCGTAATCATTAAGTAAAATGGACACAGGGAGGCTTGTACTCGTCAAATCAGTTTAACTCAAACCGTTTTTAATATCTTAAAATGATATTCCTGTTCTTCTCAATATACTCTTTTTGTAAAAACATGAATATCTTTAGGGCTTTAAAAAAATATACCGCTATTTTATTGGATAGTTTGATTTACTCAACTAGCTTTCAATTGCCCGAAAACATACGATTTATACATTAATTTGCATTAAATTTTCAGAAATATCATAGAATGAGTAAAAAAAATGCGTAACTAGGGGTGAAAATTGATCATCAAAACATTCTGATATATTTAAAAGTATAATCCTTTCCCCCAAATTTCAACTTTCATTGAATGATTTTTCAAGCTAGATGTACTTGTCATTTTGGCTTAATTTCATAAACAAGTGAAGTAAGTTAGGAGGGGAGAGGGGAATGTCAAATACGTGTCGTCGTCTCTAAATTCAAGAACAGGTAGAGTTTGGTTTATCCGCATCTTCTAAGATAAGGTTTATATAATAGATGCCAAGACTCTCATTGGCCCTATTGACTTATATATAAATTGACCGTCAATACCTTTATTCTACAAACTTAAAATACAACCAGTAAGGTATCCTCAATGTTAGCATTTCCCTAAACTCAAGTAAAATGTTACATAGTGTATGTCCATAGATTTGCTTTCAAGATCGAGATCTACATTAATTCTTTCATTAAAAAATTCAGAAACACATTTGAAACTAATAAATACCAGTTTTAAAAGTTATAGAAAGATAATCTTATGAATATACTTCAAATATATTAATTATTATATATAGCGTATTTCGTGTTATCAATTGATTATATCATCTAACCCGACACAACCAATATTGGACAGTGCCGATTTGCTACTGTTTTACCAATCGAATATTTCAATTGCCAGATACATTGTTCAGTGTACAAAGATTCCTTCGGATCAGTTATATATAATCTAGTGTAATCATGATAGCGACTTCATCATCGAAATCTGGAAAACGACGATACCATAGTATAATGCTATTAATATACAACTGCATCGTAAGTACATCCACTGTGCATTAATATATACCTACTTCATAGATAGAATTCTGCAAATTGTCTTTTTGGTAAAAAAAATATATAAAAAAATGACGCATTGCGATTATTTTTAGTATGGAAAATGAGTAAATGAATACATATGAAATTAATTGATCAGATTTTCCCCATTTATACTGAAGTGTGAACCAACCATAACTACCTTCAGGCAATTAATAGCTCATGTAATAAGCACACGTTTTAAAGTTTTTTCTTCTTACTAATTATGAAGTTAAAATATATGTAGTAACTAAATTAATAATAAGTTAAACTGCATGATATGTTTTTGATGATTTGGTCACAAATCCAATATGTTTTTCATCGTTATAGTCAATAAAAGTTTATATCACATCATGGATTCTCTCTTTATTCTTTTTTCATTGTATAGCAACACTTAAAAGTGTGTTTATACATATTATATATCTCTACAAAATGACAAACGTTGTTTACGATATCGAGCCATTTCCCTTGCACATAGATTTCCAAACAGGATAAGTCACAATCCAGTTTATATGTTTATAAATAATTCTTTTAAGTCTGAAATTTCAAAAGTCAAATAAACCGATTTTTCCACCATAAAAAAATAAGCACTGAACTGCAATGACAAATATTGTTTACAATATCGAGCCATTTCCCTTGCACATAAATTTCCAAACAGGATAAGACACATAAGACCAGGATATGTGTTTATAAATAATTCTTTTAAGTCTCAAATTTGAAATGAACTAATTATCCGAGTTTTCGCATCATAACAAAATTAGCCATAAATTACATGTACTTGTAATACTGATATATTGGCTTACATTTAAATATCTAACGACCTGTCAAGACTGGTTTTAAAAAATGATAAAAAAAGAATTACGATAACCCTCCTAACAGAATATTAGCATATGTCGTTGTTTAAATTGCAATAAAGATGTAATGATTCAATTGTTGACAATTATTTAAACACTTAAATTACAGACTGAAGACGGAAAGGTTTTTTGGACCGTAATATAAATCATTGACAGTTGAAAAAAGGTTTGAATGTCGGTGTAATGATTTACCATACACGGTATACGCCTCGGTAAACATTATTTCAATAATGAATACTCGAACAAATACATTGCCCTTATTAACAACCAAGAACGTCTATACTTAAAGTATATTGTCGTCGTACAAACACGAATTCCTTTCATGCAATAAATCTCGATGCAAAATCTTGACTGACTTTGAAAATCTGAGTTTTTTAGATTACAAAGAATTAATATGGTATTTTTTTAGTAATCATTTAAAATAATTGGTTTCTTGCACCAACATGTTCATAAAGCATGAAGTAGGACATTTGACTTTGAAAATCTGAGTTTTTTATATTACAAAGAATTAATATGGTATTTTTTTAGTAATCATTTAAAATAATTGGTTTCTTGCACCAACATGTTCATAAAGCATAAAGTAGGACATTTGACTTTGAAAATCTGAGTTTATTAGATTACAAAGAATTAATATGGTATTTTTTTTAGTAATCATGTATTGGTTTCTTGCACCAACATGTTCATAAAGTATGCATTATAATCAAAACATTATCTCAAAAATAAACATCTACGTTGTATCAATATATGCATCCACTTAACGTATAAACGGACATTTGAATAAATAACGACAAGTAGTTTAGAAAAACATTTCGATTTTAGAAAAGAACATTATTGAAATATGCATAATCGATGGCCATCAAAATCATGCCCCGTTCGTGGTAAAATTGAGCTTTGTCAGTATACTTGTAGCTAGCATAATACTTCTCGCTGTTGTCCCTGTCATGTATTAAAAAAAAGTATACATCTGTTATCCCCCCGACACACCACCAGGAGCTTCAGCCACGAATTCCTGTTTTACTTCCCCACAATGAATTTGGTCATTCTGTGGCAAAGTCTAATCACAGTGTTATCAGAGGGAAAACTAGTTTATTCCGTTTGGGAATCATCGTGTTCTTCAGCATTGCCTCTATTAAACAGTTTTCAATAGGAAGAAATACAATTTATATAAAGCTATATCTAATATGTTTTTAATGCTATGAATTCTACAAGTATGTAAATTGTTTTAACATAAGCATTACGTTATTAACCAGCAAAATGGACTGTGCAATACATGGCTGCTATTTTCAGTGCACGTTTCCGTAAATTTAACAAGATAATCGGGTGTAGTTAACAATTGTTACACAAGTATTTATAGCAGCTTTCTCGTTTACAAGAAAGAGCAATACAGACAAATGAAAAATTATAAAGCAGATTGTCTCTAATGAGTTTTCCCATCATAACAAAATTAGCCATCAACTACTTGATATATTGGCTTACATTTAAATATCTAACCTGTCAAGATTGGTTTTAAGAAAATGATAAAATAATTGACTCAAGAAATAATTACGATAGCCCTCCTAACATAATATTAGCATATGTCGTTGTTTAAATCGCAATAAAGTTGTAAGGATTCAATTGTTGACAATTATTTAAATACTTAAATTACAATCTGAACACGGAAAGGTGTTTTGGACCGTAATGTAAATCATTGACAGTTGAAAAAAGGTTTGAATGCCGGTGTAATGATTAACCATACACGGTATACGCCTCGGTAAACATTATTTCAATAATGAATACTCGAACAAATGCATTGCTCTTATTAACAACCAAGAACGTCTATACTTAAAGTATATTGTCCTCGTACAAACACGAATTCCTTTTATGTATAATGGATTGTGCAATACATGGCTGCTATTTACAATGCACGTTTCCGTAAATTTAACAAGATAATCGGGTGTAGTTAACAATTGTTACACAAGTATTTCTAGCAGCTTTCTCGTTTACAAGAAAGGGCAACACAGACAAATGAATAATTATAAAGCAGATTGTCTCCAATGACAAGTTTGACAAGATCTGCACAGAACAATATTTGACATCTTCAAATTAGTCTTGACAAGTCCTTAGTACGAAAAGACATAACTCCGTGTCAAATAAACCATTGCAATTTTTTAATTAACACCAACAGTGTTTTATATACTTAACACATGCAAAGTTATATTCATAACCAAGTTAGCTCAAACATAATCTTAAACATTTGTATGTATAAATATTTCATTAAATTGAATTCTTGAATGCAAATGTTTGATTTCATGACAGTATCTCAGTGACTGCATATTACTTTATTTTATGCTAATTAATTGAACACAAGTATAACATTAATTTTGACACAGACAGTCGCTAATGCACCAAGGGTTACCGGCAGTAAACATAAAAGCAGCAACTATGTAAAGACCTTTTTCAGAGGACCGACCTGCGTTGTCATGGACAACAAGAGTTGAACGTGTGTGTACGAAAACATTAGAGTTATAATTTCACCCTATTTAAGTGTTACAAACCCCGCAGCTGACCACCCGTGGTTAACGTAAAATTATTTCTGGAGTGTCCATGAAGTTTTTCTAAAGAAAAGTGCTTCTTATTTCGGGTAAATGTTTCTACCCCTCCCTCCATTCAAGTCCCTTGATTTTACGTCCTAAAGAAAAGTAGAAGGAACTGAGCGCTAAATGTTTGCGAATATGTTTAAAATTGAATCTAAATGTTAATATTTCCTGTGTATATCTGAAAATGAGTCATACATTAAATAGAACCCTTCGACTCTTTAGAACGAAACATTTTACGTTAGAATTAAATATGATCAATCACATCTCAAGTCTGTATTAATCTGAACGAACATGTTCTGAATTGAAATAATGCTCTCTATTATGTTTGGAAGGTGTGTCATTATCTGATTATCAAACTAGTCTACACATGCATTATTAACATACATTAAAACCCACGCCCCTGCATTAAACATTTAAAGAATCCGTCTTAAATGGAATTCTAGACGTTTCAACAGGAGCAAAATATCATAAAAAAGTGCTGCAGTTTATTATATAGTTTCGAATATCCAATGAGCTCTGGTTGCAAGTTTTAGGTAATCCGGAGACGTTATGGTGTAAGTTATAAATAATGAGAAGGGAGTTACATTGTAAGTTGTAAGCCATGAGGAAGACATATCCTGTAACTTATTTGTAATGCGGGGAGTGTGGGGTTTTAAATTACAGGTAATAAGGGGAAAGCATTATTGAACGTTTTGGGGTAAAACACAGAGAGTTAAATTGTAAGAATCACTAATGATGAAATAATGTTGTAAGTTATAAGTAATAAAGAGGAAGATATATTGTACAAATTATTGACGATGCAGTAAAACAAAAGTAACAAGGAGGGAGTTATCTATAAATGAGCAGGGAGGTATTTATGATATTTTATCATTCAACTTTCTTCTTAAAGCAATACTAAGTGAAGTAAGGTGTCTATAGAAACAAGTCTAGATAAATAGTATGTAAGTTCAATTATGGTAATAGCTGTCCGCAGCAATCACATTTTGTACCATCTCACTTGAATGCTTTAGCACAAACACTGTTGCACCCGACCAAGTCATTTTTACATTTTCAGAGTTTTTCTCTGAAAAGTCCATGATATGACGACTTCAGAAATAAAACTCTAAACTCAAGGACGGCCGGAATGTGAACTACTCCGACGAATCTGCCTATTCATACCACGGATAGAACGCCAGACATAATATGTAAAAATATACCACATTAAAAGCAAAATGAAAACAAATCAACACGAGAAATAGCCAACAAGAATCAATTCAATGACCCTTGCATATAACATTTTAACTATCTACGCCAAGAAATATATAACACAATCAGATTTAATATCGCTGACTGGGGATTCGGAAATTTTTCACAGTCACTTAACAAGGTGAGTTTGTCATTTCTTGTAAGAATGTTAGGTATAATAGGATCACTTATCAAACAATTAAAAACTAGACAAAAACCTCGGCCTTAATTTACATAGATTAGTATTACAGTAACACAAACCAAAGGACAGTGTTGCTCTGTTTTGTTTGATTTAATTGAACTGTCTAAGTATGAAATGTTGATAGGACTACAAATAATCATGCTTGATTAATTGTGTTATGGAATTGCAAATATGATGAAAAAAATAACATTGACGCCCTTATATTTCAAAAGATAAAACGTTATTTGGTCGGTGCTGTTAATTAAAATATCAAAATATCTTTATCTTTATATCTTCAGGCGATATAATGTAAAATATAAGATCACCGCAGTTGTTGAACACATTTTTGCATTAAATTATCCATAATGAATTATCATAATATAATTATGTTTAATTACATTCAGTTATAATAAATACAATCAGCTATCAAAGGTATGTATCTCCCTTAATAAAAAAACAAATAATTAGTTTAGAAAATAAGCTACTATTCGTCGCCACAATCCTCAGCTGATTGGAA